TTTAGTCTACACTTGGGTTATGGGTAACATGAAGGCAGCTCAACTTTAATAACTCTTTGCTGCCATAATATTATGGAGCAGCTGAATGGTACCCAACAACCAGAATTAGCGTAAACTAGGGGACAATCTACTAGAAAAGTACATTATCTGTCCCTGAAATAAAAACAAATACAGTGATTAAAAAGTATTTTATCCAAACATTTCTAAAATTGACTGAAGGTTGATTTCAGTGAGTTGTTCTGTATATAAATGTGCCATTCATTTGTTTCTCAGATTTTTGTTCTTTATTAAAAACACTTTACTAATGTAAAACCCTGTCATTGATCTTGTTCTCAGCCCAATTGAACCTACTGCTTTTATAGTTTTGTTATGCTAAAAACTGTTATTTAAAAAAACTACTAGAAAAAACACTTTAGAAATTGCAAGTTCAGGATGTTATCAATCACATCAATTGATAAAACATGAAATTATAAATAAATTCTACTAAATAATTACTACAAATGTATAATAAAAATAAATGTACAGTTGTCCCCATGTTTCTGTTAGTCCTGTCACATTTGCAATAAATTGAATGTAAAATGCGTGCAATACACCGTTAAGGCTATGACTCAAAGAAAGTGACATCATTTGACGGAAAAGAATCTCCCAGTGATCAAGGATGCGTTAATAATTGAATTGTACGATTTTATGCTTGTTTTTATATGATTTTTTTGAGGATGACAAGCTTAAGTCAGACCCTGTCACATTTTTTTATAAGTGAAAATGTATGTTTCTGGTAGAATGTCCCCTAAACTGAAACTTAACAGCTAGCTAATCTGGCTTTATAGTACAGGCCTCGGAAGACTTGAATAGCTTTATTTGAAAATGTATGTTAGTGTGAGCGGACTTAAATGGTTGGAGAGTTACTTTTTATTAGAAACATGCTTATTTAAAGCCAAACTGAAGTTCTACAATACTAAAAATATTTCCACCTTTAACCTTCTCTGTATCATAGCAGATTTTTTTTTATTAGAAAAAGAGTTTATGTGCAGTAGGTTAAAGCTGTAAAATGTCACAAACTGTATCTCATTTTTGATTCTGTTTCCATACATGTAGCCCTAGTTTTTAGGTCGCTTAAAATCTTTTGTTTTTTTCACCAGGTTGCCATGAGATCGCTGAAGAGTTTCGCTCTCAGGAGATTGATGGCCAGGCCTTGATGCTCCTCAAAGAGGATCATCTCATGAGCACAATGAACATCAAACTGGGCCCTGCACTGAAGATCTTCGCCCGCATCAGTATGCTCAAGGACTCGTAGCCTTACCCACAACTTAATCTCGTCGGAAAGGACACCCTCACAACTCTGCACTGGTTTCTTTGTCCCATTGTGGCTTTGGGTCCTGGGGATTGCTGCTCCTCAAAACCACAAACTTGTGTATAGTTCTCATCACCGTCGAACGGTTTCATCCCAAAAGCATGATGGTGTGATTACAAATCTCTGGTGTATGCCAAGTCTGGGAAGGGGTGACAATCCATCATGTCAAGAAGACAAGCACAACAGCTTAACCATTTGTGCAAGCAAATGTTCTTCGTTAATAGCATGAAAAGAGGTTTACAGTTTTTTTTCTGTCTTGAACTGGACTTTGTGATTTGTTTGTCAAAGTGACACTGTCGTAGTTCTGGTTCTCATTGTCACAGCAAAGTAATGTTTGGTTAGCGAAGGAAAACTTTGTACCTTTAGCCTTGCAGTGTGCCATCATTTGTAAGTAGTAAAAGTGTTCAGGTTTCTTCATCTCACAGGATATTCCTTAGTTCACATGCAATTAGATTTTGTACTCAAATGTGGCATTTTTTACACTGATACACAGGGATAATAGGTATTAAATCTGACTCTCCAATACGTGCCTAATGTTTTTTTTAAATATCCCAAAGATTATGGAGACCCATACCTTTATGCTTGTGAACAGAATTCAGGTTTAAAGACTGCCATTAATCTCACTTTACAGAACCCATCTTGGTAAGATCTGAGAAACAACTGGCATTATTTTTCATAAATTGCTGTTATCCCAACCTTCAATGTGTGCACTCACATTTGGAAAGCTAGTGCAGCTCGTGTGTCTATTTTTACATTCATCATTTGATCAAATTTCTGTATTTATTGAGAGCGATTCTCTGATTCTGTTTTATATTTGAAAATAAAACTGAAAAAAAAAAAACCTAAAGTGTCAGATTGTTTTGCAAAGCATTGTATCATAAACTGAGCAAATGAAAAAATTTGCTAAAAAAATCAACTGAAATATTTCTATTGTACTTTTCCAAAATTACAAATTAGTTTGATTCTTGTGTTAAATGATTCTCTAAATCTTATGGAAGATACATAAGCACTATTGGCCATTTAGATAGCAGTTTTTACAATTAAATACCTGTCCAGAAACTGAAGATTTGCTCCTGCATTAAATTCAGACAGATGTTATGCGTTTCTTTTTAATGTTAGTTTCAGACTTGCGTTCTTGGTGGTGATTTGTTTTTATACAATGAATTAATTACCTGTCTAGCAGCAAGTGAAGATTTTCTCCCGTATCAAATTCTTCCATCTTTGCTCGCCAGACCGGTGTTATGAGTTTCTTTCAATAACTTTAACGTTAGTTTCAGATTAGCGTTCTCTGTGGTGATTATACTTTTCCTATTTTTACCCTTCTAGTCATCAAGTTTACTGAAAAATATTTGTCACGCACTTCCAAAATTGCAACATGTATGAGTTTGTTTCTTGTGTTAAACGATAGCCTCTCAATGTTATGGAAAACACTAACTTAGTGACATTTAGATTTATAAATACCTGTCCACTATGTCCAGCAAGATTTTCTCCAGCATCAAGTTCTTCCATATTTGCCCACCAGACCGATGCATTTCTTTCAATAACAACTTTTAAAAAAATGGTTTCAGACTTGCATTCTCTGTGGTGATTCTACTTTTCCCATCGTTTAGTTTCATCTAGTCATTAACTTGTAGTCAAGCTTGCATTTTCTGTGGTGATTCTACTTTTCCCATCGTTTAGTTTCATCTAGTCATTAACTTGTAGTCAAGCTTTGCCAATCTAAAATGGCGGGAAATGCAATAAGGGAGCGACCAACCTACAAATAACGACTAAAACAGAATTCATTATTTTTTTTAACACATTTTCTTTTTTTAACAGTAACTTTGAGAATTTTCTATCGTATGTACGTTTACTTTAATCAGGAGAATTTTTTTCAAAAAGGCCTTTATGCGTGAATTAGCCAAAGGATAGTTCACACAAAAATAAACATCGGCTGTAATTTACTCACCTTTAGTCTATCCAAAATGTATGTGATATTTTTCTTCATTGATTCATCAAATTTTAGTCAATACAATAACTAATACCTGGAATTTTGTATCAAAATGCCGTAAACATTTTGACAAAAATGAGATCTTATGAGTAAAATGACAACATGCCTTATGCATGTTAAAAAATAGCTTCCATTAGTTAGAAATAAATGTTCTATCATAAACTAACAAAAATCATTCCATTCTTAAGCATGATTGCATTGGTCAAAACATAAAAAAGCTTTCCTTTTACCAATTGTAAGGTTTCGTCAAAGAATGCTCAATATTTTGTAGAAATTGATACTGTTACTATTATTATTGTTTCCTGTGGAGAAAAGCAGTAGATTTGAATATTTTTGTAAGGATCATGTAAGACTACTAACCGCTTGAGTCATGATGTATCAGTGACATTTGAAACACTCTTTCTGCATTCAAGCCACTAATTTGAATTGAGAAAATATTCATTTATGACCTCATTTTAGTCATATCACACATTAAAGTGTATTTTATATAATCATGGTGTACACAACAGTCTCTGGACTTTCTGCATCTCAGACACCAATATTTTAATAATTTATAAAAACCTTCTGGCCATCTGATATTACTTATGTTTATATTGTGATCGTGATTTTCGAAAGTTTTACATCTTTTTGTGAATGTTTATTTTTATGATGCGAGTGTCCCCATACAGTTTGATATGGCTCTTGGACCCGGAAGCTGCAACGTGTGATGTCACACTTAACAAGCAGAAAGACTGAATGAAGCTGAATTAGCTTTGCCATAATCAAAAAATGACTTTTAATTTTTTTTACATTAATATTTAATTAATAATCTATTTTTATTCTTTTCAGTCATTGATTCCATTTTATTATTTGAATGACTGCAAAAATATTTCATTTTAATTGTTTAAGTTACCAACTGTCAACTTTAAAGTCAGTATGAAACCAGTTAAAACTGCCCCTTTTCCCTTATTGTGATGTACAACCAATTGAAACAAATATAAGGCGGTGCATAATGGCATCCTTTTTAGAACCATTTGGATCGTTGGAAAATGGGCGTTGCTAAAAAACTGAAGGAAGATTGATGACTGGATGAAAACAGGGCACGAATGAGATCTACACTGATAGCCCCACCCTAAAGCCTTCCATGTGACCAGTTGTGAAGAAAAGTCTTTCAAGCGGGGGAAAAAAGTTAAGGTATTTAAAGATTATGAAAACAATGAAGATAATAACAAAATAATGGCTTCACAGTGGGTAGCACAATCGCCTCACAGCAAGAAGGTCGCTGGTTCGAGCCCAGGCTGGGCCAGTTGGCAATTCTTTGTGGAGTTTGCATGTTCTCCCTGTTTTGGCGTGGGTTTCTTCCGGGTGCTCTGGTTTTCCTCACAGTCCAAAGACATGTGCTATAGGTGAATTGAAAAAGCTAAATTGGCCGTAGTCTATGTCTGTGAAAGTGTGTGTATGGGTGTTTCCCAGTTTTGGGTTGTGTCTGGAAGGGCATCCACTGCATAAAACATAAGCTGGATAAGTTGGCAGTTCATTCTGCTGTGGCGACTCCTGATTAATAAAGGGACAAAAAGTAAATAAATGAATGAAATGCCACAGACACATCGTTTATACTGACTCTAAGACTTATGATGACCCTCACTAACACCGTAGTAAATGCACACACCATCACCACAATTTGTGTATTTTTTATGAATCTTTTTTTGTCTTTAATTTATTTACAAGCTTTAAATTTGCTCTATCAGTATGAAGAATAACAAGCACTTTAGGTTCAGCAACATCTCCTTAGTGTTTTTGTACACGTCCCCGTCTGCTCGTTCTGAGCTCTCGTCTCATGTGATGCCAGCAGTCCCCTGAATGCATAGTTCCTGCCGGGTTAAATGTTTCACAAAGAACAAGCTAAAGCAGAGAAACATTTGGTATGGTTATTGAGAGAATAACCTTAAACATGTACTAAACACTTTAGTACCGATGTCCTAAACGCAGAGCATATCTCGTCTGTGCTCAACCTCAATAAAACCTCTCTCCACAGTTTGAAAAATCACTTCAGTTGTATTTTAATAATTGTTATTGTCATTATATTAATAATAAAACGATGAACATTATTTCTCTACCCACTGATCACCTCTCGCTGTGAATGCTAAATAGCATTTGTGTATGCGGTTCTTAAAAAAAATAAATTAACGAGTCTGAACGTACGTTTTGTTTCACTGTTGCATGTTTGTATTATTAAAGTCCTCTTAAAAAGTAACAAAACAAAAAAAAAATAATAAAAAAAAAACTTAAATGCAACATTTCTATAAATAATACATTTTTGTTTAGTGCTCCAGCAATTTGTAAGTTGTTGTCGGGTCGCTGCGTGTCAGTGAACCGTACCATTGGAAATCCATCCTGATGCATAATGTGTTGCTTGTTATGTTACATTTTAATTTGATGCAGTTATTGTTTCAGCGACTATTGTCTTTTCAGCACTAGTTGACCAATGTGTCCCTGTTTGTCCTGTCGTCAATTGTCCTCGGACTCTTCCTCGGCCTCGCGCAGCCACGTGAAGAAGGCTGTGACGGACTTCAGGGCAACACCTTTGCCTTGCTGTTCAGCGGGGTCTTTACTGACCTCCCATTTATAGAAAGCGTCTTCAGAGATCACGTCCTCATCATACAAACAGTCAAAAAACATCCGGAGCAAATCTGCAATAAAGATACAAAGATTAATCATTCATTTTTAACCCATTATAAACATTAAAAAATTAATAAAATAATAATTGTATTAATTGAAGTATGTTTTTTAAATATACTTTAGTTTTTTAAATTACTATATTTATTTAGTTTTTATAAAATAAACCATTGATTTTTAGCCCTTGACTATTATAAGCATTAAAAACAAAATAGATAAATACAATAATAATAATAATATGTGTTTTATTAACCATTTGTTAAATGTAACGTCATGCGAAGCAGTTGCTGGGTCCAATTGCGCTATTAAACTGTATGGGGAGACTCAACAAATGGTAATAATAAATGTTTACAAAGCAATGTAATACTTTAAATATTTCCATGACTAATATCAGATGGCCAGAAAGTGATTAACTTTTTAAAAATTGTTAAAATATTGGTGTCTGTGTTGCAGAAAGTCCAGAGACTGTTGTGTACATCATGACTATATAAAATACACTTTAATGTGTGATATGACTAAAAAGTGGTCATAAATGAATATTTTCTCAAACTAAATGAGTAACGGCTTGGACCCGGAAACAGTATCCCATATGTCATGACTTAACAAGCGGATATACTTTAGTTTTTTAAATTGCTAAATAATATTTAGTTTTATCAAATAAATTATTGATTTTTAGCTCTTGGCCATTATAAATGTTAAAAACAAAACAAAAAATCAAATTATATTAATAAAGTATGTATTTTATTAAATACACTTTAGTTTTTTTAATTAATATATTTATTTATCTAAAAAAAAAAAAAAAAAAAGATTTTTAGCCCCTGAACACTATTAACACTTAAGAAAAAAAGTATTTTACTAAATACTTTAGTTTAATAAATTTATATGTTTATTTCGTTTTTATAAAATTAACTATTAATTTTAGCCCTTGGCCATTATAAACATTAAAAACAAAATAAATAAATATAATAAAATAAATAAAGTATATTTTTTATTTTATACTTCAGTTTTTTAATATGTTTATTTAGTTTATACAACTATGGGAAAAATTAAGACTACAAGAAAAGTTTTTCTGTATTTACTAGATTTAAAAGCACGAGTTAATATTTTTCTGAGATAAATATTAAATAATAAGAGTCAAGAGTTAAAGTAGAAATGTGACAGGTTTCACTCACTAGCAGGCTGGTCCAGTTTTACTATCAATGCTTGAAGTGCATAAAGTGCTTGCAACTGTCTCTCTGTGTCTGAGTTAAGGTACTTGTGTAATACAGGCAATCTCGTCTGAATTATGGACAAGTCCACTTTACACGAGGAGCCCTCAGCTGTAGAAAGAAGACAAAAGATTACAGAACTTTTCTTCTGAAAGTGTTTCACATAAAAAGCAAACATAAAGGTGCTATCAGCTAACATCAACTTTCCTATCAAATGGAGATTATAGTGTTAAAATGTAATCATCAACACTTTTATCTTATTATAAACAAATGTTATGGGATAAAAAAAGTAACTAGGCAATTGCTGCTCCGTTTTAGATTTAGACTAAATAAATTAAAATATTGGTCAAAGACAAAATTCTCTTTTCAGTTCACATCAAAAGTGGTTGAAGCACATTACTTACTTGCTTCAATAGTTTTAATACATTTTTGGGTAAAAAAAAAAAATGAACCATCTATTTATTCTGGCCTGAACTTTGAAATAAAATATAAAGCAGTATTTTATAAAATATATATAGATTCATGTTTAATACTAAATTCATATTTTAAGTTCATATACATTTGATTATATTATACATGTTATTATTTACACGGCTTATTATGGAGGGAAAATATAACATTAAAGATTTCAAAAACTCCAGTAAGTTTTGGAATTCTTAGAAAAATAATAAGAAAACAAAGTTAAAAAAAATCTTAAAAACTTTAGATAAAAACAAAATGTATTGGACCAAATGTCACCAAAAGCTAACAAACTTGGACAATATTAAAAGTCACCTATGCAGATTAACACATAAAAAACAGGCATCTTGGGTACCTGGATTTAAAATGATGCATCTATCTACTCTCTCAAAGCAATCCACCAATTCATCACATTTGATTCATTAACACACTAATAGAGAACAGGAAAGGCAGAAGACATAAACTCACAAACAGAAGAGAATACTGCAGCGCTCAAGCACTGCTACCCAAACACCTCTGTTATTATGTACAACAATATAGAGGCACTTACTTTTTACTGCTGCTTTACACACAGCAGTCATTAAAGCTCTGACGAAAGGAGCTGAACTCATTTCTGATTCATCTAGATTGGCCTGTAAGAAACGTACACTATAATAACCACAAAATAAATCAATCTTCAGTAAAATAAGCTGGACATAAAACCTACCTCAACCCAGTCGAAGATTTGTTCATCGCCAACCATGTCCTCAAGTAAAAGTTTTTCAAGTTGCTTGTTCAGTTCCTCAGGCGAGAGTGTTCTCTTAGAGACAGCCTCGGTCGGGTTTGAGCCATCAGACAGAGTGAACTCTAGTTTCTGTTACGAGGACACATTATACATAAACAGCCAGTTAAATATTGAATTTTCAATAGATTACACATATTAGTCTAAAGGCCCTGATCTACTTTGAGCTAAATTGTAAAATGAGCTGTTGTGATGTCATTTAGAACAAAATTAGGCCAAAAGTAACTTTTTGTTCATTTAAGAAGCTCAAATAATTTAACTAGAATTGGTCAGTTGTGATTAAGGTTTTCAATAGTATCGACTACTACTGATATTGAGTACAATGCTGATTGGCCATCACATGCTAAACAGACAAGACTGTGATTGGCTCTGAAGTTCATCGCTTCACCATTCTTCACAGCTGTTTACCAAGTGCAAACACAGCACACGGACACTGGAGCTTTAAAAGCAGTGTCTATCAGCTGATCCTTCTACAAGCAGATATATGAGAGATCCACTGATGGACGCAACTTTGGAAATGGACATTTTTAATATTTCAGTTCCGACTGGTACCGGAGACAACCAGAGCATAAAAGGATGGAGACGTGGCATCATTTTAGCCCTAAATGAAGAATGAAAAACAACATAAAGGTTGTTCACACTTGAAATTGTTAACTCTGGGTCATCCTAAACCCTGGATAAACACTATCCAGGGTTATCAGTTTCACACTGCTCATATTATGCCCTGTTAATCTAGGATAATCATCTACAAATGTTTCACACTGTTCATTCCTAAACGCCTGGTTAGGATACTTATTTGCATAGTCAGTGATTGGAAGATCAGCAGGCAACCCGTTTACTAGTGGTGTAACAGATCACAAATCTCAGTTCGGAATACATTATACAATTTTAGTCACAGATTGGATCAGCCAAAAAGAAGAGGAGACAAATGTAATTTGATTTCTATTTATCACAAAAACAGTACTGCAAGACACTTTTGGTTTTAACAAACATAACTTAGAAGCTGTAATTTTATAAAAAATAAAATGAATAAATAATAAGCTGAATAAAAATAAATGGTAAATTATTCAGTATTGAGAAAAATTCACTTTTACTACTACTGTTGCTGATGACGCTAAATGTGTAGTGTTTATTTAGTTGATGCATATTGTGTTTATTTATTCATGCATATTTAGTCTAATTTTCAATAAATGATTCAGTTATTCACTCATAAATCTTCAAAAGTGATCCATCTAGCAATGAAACATGAATTATTCAGTGGCACATTTTTGATGGCTGGTTGTCACCACCTATTGGTTAAATAATGCAATTGCTGCCTACAACTTTCATTTTTGAGCATCGTTAAATCCACATGACTGTGATTTTAATCTGTACCATAAACATCAGTGGTTTTATCTACACTATAAATTTTCATCCCAATACTTCTGTGTTATTTGACTCAAAAGACTAAAGACTGAATCGCATAGGATTAATATACATGGAGATCTCCATCATTTATAATTTATGTTGGTTTATGAGTGTTGAGATCTCGATCTTTTATTGAGTTATCATGCAGCTTACACTGAATGCATTAATGCAGGCTAAACAAGTAACGACAGAAAACAACTAAGAAACCCACCACATCCATACCCATCACAACTTCCTCAGCCATCATTAGATTTTACAAGAAAGCCTAAGGCTGCGTCCGAAACCGCCTACTACTCAGTAGGTACTGTATTTGAATTTAAACATACAACTCGGCCGTTAGAAAAGTATGTTCTATACAGTATGAATGTGAAAGTATGAATGGAATTCGGACGTACAACATCCGCCATTTTGTCATGGTCACGCGACCTACCTGCGTAATTTGCATCGCTTCATTCCCATTCATGAATTCGCTCGCGGGGCATCATGGGATAGGGCAGCGAGCATGAGATGCGCACTCCAGAATTTCGCCGGAAGTAGTAAGTCATCCCTGTACTTCTCGCATACTGATTTTCGAATTCTATGTATTCGGACATACTACTCGGCTCGCATACTGATTTTGGCGTACTATATAGTATGGAAGTATGCGGTTTCGGACGCAGCCTTAATGCTTTTATACATGTGATTTGAATGACGCAAGAGGATCTCTTTGTGATCGTTACAAATTTAGGATTAAGAAAAAAAAAGTATTAATCCGCGGGTCAAGTGTGTGCCGAACAGTGGTTTGTGATCCGTACGAATCATAGATCAACCGTGATCCATTACAGCTCTACCACTTCCAGGATGCTTATGTACTGTAATTGACATGAGCCTCTCTGCTCAATGTCTGATTGGCTGTCTATTGCCAAGCATCCAATGGTCAAAAGCAAGCACTGATCCATTTTACATTGAATAAAACTTAACACCACAATGTGGAGTTAACAAAACTATGAAACAAAAGGTTTGAAACATTTTTTTAGCCAGGGTAAAAAGCAGTATCAAGGGTTAAGCGCAGTATGAAAGTGCATAAAGGCCTTGAAAACTCACATGTTCTGTGATGAAGCTGTGCACATCCTCTGTTTCAGGTATAAAATCTGCCCAGCTCAACCCAGAATCCCTCCATAATGATCCCACTTTCTTATGGCTCTGCATACAGAAAACATACAATCGATTCTACCATATTTACAAATGGCAAAAAAATGATTGATTTCAGTGTTTCCGCTTACCATTTGTTTGCATAGAAGGTGCAATATTTCAGAAAATAATATCCCAGCTCTTCCCACAGGGAGTAATGGTTTGCTAAATTCACTGTGGAAAGAAGCAAATTAAATCAATTGCTCAATGAGTTCAGTCCGAATCCAACAACACTGCTGGGTAAAAACTCACCTAAATAATTCTCTCATAGAGATTCCCCCCTCTCGAAGCACAGGGGTTACCAGCTCCGCAAGGTACAGCCATATATGGGGAATATCAATGGCCATATCATCTGCTAATTCAAGAGTTTCAGAAAACCTTTAGGGACAAAACAAACACACTGTTAGCATCAAAACTTCTTGATATCATATAAAAAAAATGTACATGCAAATATTAAGTGTAAACAGATAATAGCCCCTTTTACACATACAGACCTTTCCGGAAAATTACCGGCAATTTTCCGGAAAGCTTGTATGTGTGAACAGGTCCTTTTTGAAAATACCGGTAAATTCGTTCTGGCTATTTTCCGGAAAGAGAAGTTGTAACATTACCGGCAATTTGCCGGAATGCTGCGCTGTGTGAATGCAGAAGGAAGATTACCGTAATAAGCGCGTGCACGTCTAGAACGGGCTGACGTGAGACGTCTGCTTTAGCCAATCACAACAGTCAGACGCATTTACGTCCGCGTGGTTTATGAGCATAAAAGCCTTTGAATATTTTTCCAGACACATTTAGCTGCTAGAAGTTAGTCAGATCACGTTTATATGTTCTTCTTAATGCCAACTGTGTAAATAATCATCGATGAGATGCTTATGATAAGCCGTTGTTTGTTTACCTTCAAGCTTTGCGTGTGCCTGTAAAACAGCCTGTGAGCGCCTGCACACGCACATATTATGAACATCTCGACATGCGATAGTGATCCTGCGAAAGTTGTTCACAATATTGATCATCCACAGAGTTTGTAATTTAGTCAAATGTTTACAAATACAAGCGCAGCCGTTTAAAGCTCATTTGTGGTGAATGATGTCAGAATTTACCGGTATTTTGGAATGGATGTGTGAATGCTCTTTTCCGGAAAATTTCCGTAACGTCCTCGCCTGTGTGAAGAGCGCTTTTTTGAATATACCGGTAAAGTCGTTCCGGAAATTTTCCGGATATTTACCGGTATCACTGTGTGAAAGGGGCTAATGTTATAATTGTTCAGACTTATTTCATGGTTTCTAGGTAGAATGCCAGTAGCAAGGCTGCTCGCTATATTTGGTACTTTATGAAATTACTAACACAGAAATCATAAAAATCTGTGATCTTCCTCACAAAAAAAGGTCACTTAAAAGACTTTAAAACCTTTAAAAAGAAATGGTATAATGGCCTTAAAAAATCAGATTTCTTTAGGCATCTCCAGGTATTTAATTATTATAAAATAACATAAAAAATAAAACTAACTATGATTAGGCAGTTTTGAAGATATTTATAAGACGATTAGGATGATTTATTGGAGGGTGTCATTTCTAAATCCTATAAAAGCCTTGGAAAAATAACATCTCATTCCACAGAAGGGGGAAAACAAAAGTAATTTTCCAATATTGTAAATTAATTTATAGCAGGTAAGTTGGTGAAAGCTTCTTTATTGATACAGTAAACAATATTTTATTATCCATGTTATAGAAAGCAGTGCTTCCCACAGGTTTGAAATATAGTTGTGGTGTTAGACAGATTGAAACACCATTTACCCATATCACATACATAGTTAACTACATGCCATTTAATGTTTAACAATAATTTTATTTATTTTCACACTGTTTCTTTTCAATGGGTTAAAGTAAAAATAATTAAAATGTTAAAATAAAAAATAAAATTCTATGATTTCTGTTACTTTTATGCCATTCAGGAGTCATGCGCATCCACTGACAGGTCAAATCTGCCTCTCTCTCTTTCTTTCAAAATCAAAGCAAACTTGAATGCCAAAGCAAAATACAGCAAATAAGAAATTAATGACAGAAAAGGAAATAAAAACAGACAATATCTTGAAAAATTATATTAATTACAAGATTAAAATGTGTAGATTATTTAAATAAGGCAAATGCGTTGATTACCCATTACTTATGGTGTACATATATTTTGCAGCGACAGGTTTTAAGAAAGCAAAAGCCGTACCCCAGACATTTTAGCAGATTTAGAAAGTGCCAAGAAGACTTTCTAAGATTTCTTAAAAGACTTAGAAGTTCCAAAATGGCCCGTCTCTGTGCGTCTGCAAGAGGGTAAACATGAGAAAATGTTTCCCTACTTAATCGATCGTGGATGTTTGGTTATATTGGGCAGATATAAAAAAAAAAAAAAAAAAAGTGCAAAAGGATGATAATAATAGTAAAAAAAAAAAAAAAAAGAGTCACTAAATTTACTTGGGCTGCCGTTAATATACCTGGGTCGCCCACCCAAGTAAAGTCTATGTGTGGGAAGCACTGCAAAGATTACTTTAGAAAAATTTGTTAATTGAATTTTGAACTACTTGATTTTAATATGTAAGAATATTACAGCCAGATTATTCTGTAAAGATATCCAGTAGAACAAATGTATTGTCTTTTAAAATGGAAAATATATTGCGACTCTTTTAGTGCATAATTCATTAGGAGACTGAGAAGGAACAATAAACACTTTCAAATTTGTAAGATTAATATCTCAGTTTTTTCCTTATTCCATGAAGAATTAATAATGGTTGAGGAGTTGACGTTGTGTTCAATATATTATTTTTGTATTGTTTAGATATTCTAATAAGTCATGAGACCATAGTGTTCATACGAAACTCCAGGCGCACCTGATCACTATTGCCCTGATGAAGGCAAGTGTTTGCCATAACAGTGATGTTTTAAGGAATAGCCAGTCAATGAAGGTTTTTATTACGTTTTTTTCCACATTTTCAAGTGCCTTGGTTGGATTTTTGCAGTTTTTTCTGATGAATCCCTTACCCAAAGAGCACCGACACATTATTTAAGCTATCCCTGAGCACTTTTTTTGAGAAAAGATGGAGAAAAACTGAATGGAAGAGAACATGTTTTGCCCTCTGTTTCGTCTTTGGGGCAGTTTGTCAACAAATATCTAAATACATGCGCTGAAACTAAATATCTACTAAAATAAAATGAAGAATCTGTTAACTTCTGCATTTTGCGACAGTCTATGCATGTTCTGCAAGTCTCACCCTTTAAAGAACTGAAGTTTAGGGAGGACTCCAGCCTGCAGAAGCTGGAAGAGCAGCTGACCCATATGGTCTCGCGTGATCTGACTCCTTTCCAGCGTGGACTCCACACCCACCCGCACAAACACATAGAGCATGGCAGACTGCTCTAGTTCCTCAACACACTGCAAAGCTTCCTGCACCACAAACACACACAATGTTCAGAAACACCTTAATTAAGGTTTTATGAGGCAATATAATTTTTGGAGATTGAAAAATATAGATCCAAACCTTGTAATCATTAATGTGCAAAAACTCATCAATTATAGACTTGGACCGCCTCTCCATCTCCTCTTCTGATAATGCAGGTTTATCTGGAGAGGGCCCTGAGAGTGCTTCAAGTTTAACAGCTGAAAATAGAGAGCCTTTAATTTAGGATTTAATCCTGAAAGTATAGTTCATCCAAAAAATATAAATTTACCCGCCCTCAAGTGGTTTAAATATTTCAAAGACACAAATATTTTAAATAATGTTGGTAATCGGTGGCCATTGACTTCTATAGTTGGGAAATAAACATGAATATGGACAAGTTTCCAACATTTTTTGAAATGTCTTCTGTTCTGTGTGTTCTACAGAAATGGAAAACTCAAACAGGTCTGGAACAAGTTAAGGCTGTGGTTTGATGAACATGAAAGTGAAGTTGAACATCTCCCATGGCCTGCACGGTCACCAGAGTTAAATATTATTGAGCAACTTTGGGGTGTTTTGGCAGAGCGAGTCAGGAAACGTTTTCCTCGACCATGATCACAAGTAAATGATGACAGTTCAAATTTTTAAATATAAACAATCTCTTTAAATGTAAATTAGAGCTGTCATTATGATGGAGTCTGTGCGGCTCACCAGACTCTCTGGGTTGGCTGTTCTCCAGTCTGCTCTTGTCTGCAGTACTGACGAGCAGCTTGGGTGTATCTGAAGCATTGGAGTCTCTGCGGGACACTTCCTGAACCAGCTCTTCGGGGGTCTCCTTATTGCTACTGCTCAATGAAATAGGCCCTGTCCGAGCAGGACCCGCACTCAATGGCTTGTCATTGCGCTCCCGTCCTGAGCTTCCACGACTGAGATATTCACAAACACACACACAAACAAATACATTCATGAACCTCCAAAATGCAAAAGAGGTTTCCTTCAATTCAATTCAAATCAAACAATTAGTTTATTAAATACATTTAAATAATACAATGTATAAATTGTAAGTTTCATTTACAGTGCTCAGCATCATTTTGAAAATGAATATTTGTATCCAATTCTCAATTAATACAAGTAATGTAATTTGGTGCATTTGAACAAATTTAAACTGATATATTTATTAAAATAATATTTTAGTCACCAAACACATTTAGAAATAGAAAGATAATACATTTACATTCATGCAAAATTTTACAAAACCAAAAATACAAACTCAAAAATGTGAATAAAATTGTTGATAATTTTTGTTTCTCTTGAATTTTGCCCTTTTAAAATTTTTATTGAATATTTTTCCCCAACATGTAAATTTAGACTTTAAATTTTTGGACCATTATCGTGAATTATTTTGTTAGATTAGCTCCAGATTGGCTTCAGTACTGACTAATCTAATGTATATGCTGAATGAATTTCTATGACTTACAGAAAAACAGGTCACTAGCCGCTTTTCCACTATCGTGCTGAATCGTTCTTTAAACAGAACTGTTCCATTCCGTGCCAAACCGGGCCAGACAGCACGGATACGGTTTCATTTTCCACTGTCGTGCTGCGACAAAGCTCTTTAAAACATTACACAAAACGCATCAGTAGTTGCCTTGGTAACGCAATGTAAACGGCTCCCTTTGTTCAATTAAAGTTAAATAAGAGCCGAAACAAGTATTTTTTTTTCATAAAAGCAAAAGCAACCATGTGACTAAACACTGTTATGCCGCTCTATCAAATAGGGGTGCTAAATATAGGTACGTGTGCACCCTTATTTATTTATATGTTGCGCAGCTTTGGCTAAATTTTATTTGGAGGGAAAATTACCAAAATGTAACGTGATGATTGAAAATAATTAGAGGGGAAATAAATATTTAAAATCTCTGAACATAACAGAAAAATAAAGAATGATAAGACAAAAATAATAGTGCATTTGCATATAGTGGCAGAAATATAATTTTGGACAGGCCTTGTCAAAGTTGAGCGGGCACTTTCACTAATATAAACACAGCACATAAATTATTTCATTTTTAACAATTAATTAAATTACACTGCGTTTTTATATCAAAAGTTGATAATGATATAAAATATACTACATTATGATGTTAAAATGAAACCAATTAAGCGATGGCTGTTATTTGTTTTACTATTCAAACATTAAATAACGAATGCAGCAAGTGAAATAAAAAACGAATTTGAAACAACACATATAGCAGGATATAAAGCATATAAAGCACTATTATATTTAGCAAAATGCTGCTCTATTATCTTTTTATTTTGATAATTTTATTTTTATTATTATAATTATTTTGTGTTCATAATTAACTAACAAGCTGAAGGCGAATTATTGCTTGACGTTTTAGAAAATATTTGCGTAGCTATATTAAAGATCACCAAGAACAAAAACACAGAAACATGTTACATGCCTCATAAATGTCATATGTATAACTGAATCATATAATTGCCTATAGCTGAAATGATGAAAATTGCTCATTTTATTTTTATAAAACATTTGTCAAAACGTATTGATATTTTTTGAGTAAAAGCAATACTGACATTTAAGAATCCATATTTATTTAATTCATTCATTGTTTTGACTTGTTTATTAGTGCATATGCTATAATATAAATCATTCAACAGTAACGTTACCTTGGACAGTTACAGTGCCGCTCCGTAAAGCTTTCAAGCAAAGTCTTTTGGACAGCCGACATTACAACACGCCGTCCTTCAGGTGGTCTCGCCGGAATTAACAAGCTGTCCTGGCTTTGAATTAAAAAGTGCAATTATTTCCTCGTTGTTAAAAGAGTCTGCAAGTTCGTGTTCCATGGATTTAGTTATGTTGTTGTGGAATTTGGACATCGACGATGCTGAGTGTGACTTTATTCGCTTTATTCGATGCGCAGCAGGAAAAAAAAGTCAGCAGCGCAAATCGCTGGCATCTCTCTCCCGGATCAGAGCGAGTTTTGTGCTGTGAAATACAGCGCTGCGTGCAATAAACTCACATTCAGGCAGGCGAAGTAGGTCTGTATTCAAGTCAATAAAATAATAACTTTAATGAATAAAATATCTTCGTAAGAATGTGATGAGTTATTCACTTCTCTGCCAGAGACTGCTCTATGGTTTTAAAACCTTTTTCAAACTGTATCGTTTAGACCTGGATCATTATTTTATATTAAATGTACTGTAGTTTATTTAGGATGTCTGATGACTAGCGCGCTTCTGCTGAGCCAGCTGTGGTAGCTTAGCAACCGAGTCGCGACGTCAACACACAGAATCTGTCAGCACAGTTCAGCACGGTTGTCTAACCGTGCCGAGAATTCCGGGCCAAGAACGGTTTGTAATCGTGCCGCGCCGTTCCAGGCTCAGTGGAGAAACAACCGTAACCGTACCGAAGTGTTCTTAGAACGGTTTGGCACGATAGTGGAAAAGCAGCTACTGTTGTTTTTTGATTGATATTAAAATGGTTTTAGCTTGAATGTCTTTTGCAGGACTTTATAGCCACTCTGAGAACAATAATGGCTAATTTACCAATTTTGACAAAATAAAAAAAGTGTTTGCATGGCAGCAAACTGCTTTCTCTCCCAAATTTGATTACTTTATATTAGTTTTACATACTTTACATTTAGTTTTTTTTTATCTACTTTTTAACATCTAGTCTTTAAGGCAGTTATTTTGAAGCCGAAGCTCCTCAAATTGTTAGCCTTAATTAAAAGGTACAATCTGGTGAGTTTGACATAAGTGGCTGCAACTGGAAAAAATAAACTACATTTAACAACAGCCCATATCAACAGGCATGAAACAAAAAAAAAAAGCAATAAAAATGGTATTTAAAAATTACAATTTGGTTAATGGGAAGTAAAAAATTTAAAGCAACAAACAAAAATCTCTGATATTCCATGACTCTAAATATCTGGAATAGCACCTTTAAATTTCCATGATATTCCAGAAATTTCAAGACCCGTGAGAATCCTGTAAAATGAATGCGTTATCCTACTATTATTTAAATTGTATTTAATTATATATTCCCTTAAGACTTCAATTATCACATGCTACAATTATACTATATTATAACAATAAAATTATAACAATAAGAAAGCACGGAATAAAGACCTGTTCACAGATTACATGTTCTTCATTCAGAGTACATCTGACACACATTTACACATATAAAAATAGCTGATAACCACCACAGAATAATAATATAAGAATAAATCTTCCCCTTCACAATTTTGATATTTTACATGTGCACCGTACCTGCCGAGAACTCTCCTGGAATCAAAATCTGGAGATGTGGAGGGTAAAGAAGAAGTCTGGAGTGCCGAGGGTTGCAGAGGAGAGTAACGATTCAAACTGGCACTCGGCCGAGACGCATCTAAAAGAGTTAAAGGGTGCAAGTCAGGAAAAAAAAAAAAAAGTTAGCAATTAGTATATATCCAGTTAATCCAGCATAAAGAAGAAAAACAGCAGGAACTGACAGAACATCAGTCTTAATTTACCTGACTCACTGGCCTTTGCTCCAGCTCCACCACTGCTGCCCTTCATCCAGTTCACCTGAGCTCTCGGCCCCAGCTGAATCTTCTCATCTATCGCTGGCTGAATAAGACACACACACAGACAAAACAAACCAGTTTCATCAGCATCAAGTTACATTTTCTCATGCATTTATATAGAACAGTACACTGTATATCCAGGGTTTTTGCCAAATGTCAAATTCCCTGACTTTTCCTAAATAAAAAAACTGAATTAACAGTTTTCCTTATTTTGTGATTCATGTTTTTTTTTCTTCATATATTTTGAATTGCATTACAGGATAATGAATTTGAAGAACAAACAAGTGCAATTTTGTGTCTTTTTTGAAAGCTAAAGCACACAATAAATCTTGCCACAAATCTGTTTAAAATCACCCTCAAACTCAACTATTTTATGTGGTAAAAATCACGAAATTATGCAAAATCGAGGTGGGAAGGGTTGAGCACTGAGAAGACAAAAACAGCCAAAAGACATTATTTTAACAGGTTCATCCTGGTAACTGCATTTGATTGTCTCTTGCCAAGCGGGAAAAGGAATAAAATGGCACTGAAAAGTAGCCAAACCATACGGACAAAATACATGAAATAACATGATTAAAAAACATGGTAGAGTACAAAAAGGCATTTTAATGAATAGGAGGCAAGCAAAACTTAAAATGACAAGCAAAAATTCCCTGAAATTTCATGACTTTCATGAGTCAAAACAAGTATAAAATTCCCTGACTTTCAATGTCTAAAAACTGACATTTTAAAGTTCCATGATATTCTAGAAAATTCCATGCCCACGGGAAGCCTAAATATCTCCTTTACTGAATAGCGTGATACAAACAGATGCTGATTCTCAGGGAGCTTCATGATGTGTAAAACGTGCAGCATTGCAGATCCCCACAATCAATAAGATAGTAAGATTCCACCACACAAGCAAACAGAACATCCATCAGATGGGGCTGTTGAGTCAAATAAGCTTTTAGCATATTTACAGAGCCTCCAAAAATTGTTTCTGTAATAGAATAAAAAAAAAAAAAAATATATATATATATATATATATATATATATATATATATATATATATATATATATATATATATATATATATTATATTATATAAATATATTTGTTTATTTGAAACGTTTTGCAGTGGTTCTTTATGATTTTGTCGTGCTTTTATGGTCAACAAGTTAGCGTTGTAAAACTAGCCTAGAATAGACTACTATATAAATATAAAATTGACAAAAAATGACAAATATGAAAATGCTGATTCATATTTTTCACTTACTTTTTTACTGTAAAATAAAACAACAATAAAACTAAATAAAATACAAACATATATTAAAAATTATATATTTAAAGAGTTTTAATTATAAATACAAATATGCAACAATTAGAGAAATCTTAATATTTTTTCTATAATATTATCTGTAATATTTACTCTACTTTCTCTAATATAATGCATTGTTTAGAAATGATCTAAAATGTGCTGCAACATTTATGCTGTACTTAATGACAAGAAAGCAAAACAAGTGTAGTGAACTCATTATATTCCTCAAATGTCAATTAAAATTAAAACCCTAAAATTAGTGTCATCTCAAAAACAAGAATCGATCCTTGTTATTGTAGCCATGTCCAAAATTGCTCACTTGTTCATTAATTCTGTAATCCCTACACTATACAGTTCATATTTCAGCAAAAAGTCAATAAATCAAGCAAAAAATCTGGACATTGATCAGGGCTCGAAATTAATCTTTTTGCCTTGTAGCACCGGTGCTCCTAACTTAAAAAATTTAGGCGCATCAGCCAAAATTTAGTCGCACCCACCAATTATAAGCACCGTTACTACAAGTGTTATACAAACATATTTATTGCATAATATATATATATATATATTTATGCAATACATATATATATATATGCAATATATATGTATGTATGTATATATAGATGCAAGCGTGAGGAAAACATGTCTCAAAGAAATCCCATTATCACAAGAAAATACATTTTATAACATAACTGAGTGAGCAAAAGATACACAGACCGCTCACCGGCCCTGCACACCCTGCGTGACATGAATCTGTTAACGGTATAACTGTGCTGTTCTCATGGGTGGTGTCTGATATTGCACTAATGCTTTTGACATACTGTACCTTATTATATGCATACGTAATGTTAATAGCAATACCGTTTTTTTAAGAGTAGCATTATTAGTTTACTCAGTGTAAGCCGCAAGTTGACAAGACAACTGTTTTAAACCATTCCTGAGCGCTGCGATTCGCGTTTCAAGTGCAGATAAATAGCTTAGAAATGTATTCTGCGTGAATGTCTCCTGAATCCGGCATGTGGTGAACATTTTGCAGTAAAAACTGGTCGCACACAACAATTCTGAGCACTCGCAGAAATGCTCCCAAATATATTTTGAGGTCGCATAGATAAAATTTTGGGTGCATATGCGACCAAAATGGTCACAATTTCGAGCCCTGATTGATACATTATCATGTGTCTAAGAGCTGGAATGGTTTCGCTAGTTTTAGTTTAGTGTTTATTTTGCAAACACATTTTTATTTTTTTATTTGTTTAGTTTCAGTTTTAGTAACTGTAGTTTAACAGAGTTAACAGAACAAGTCCAGTGTCGACCAAAGCAAAGTTTAGCATTTGCACAATTTGAATTAATTCTTGTGGAAACCTCTTAGTAATAAAAACATAATTGTTTGAACAAACACGGAATAAAAAAACATACAAATGCCATACATAAAAGTACAATTTACATAGAATTCAGACAAACTTCTTCATATTAATGATCAGTCTGTATAGTTAAAAATGCATCGTTTACATTTTTTGACAAATGAAGAAAAGATACAACAAAAGTTTTATGTTTTACATAGAAAATATATTCTCGTTCATAACCACAGAATATAAATTATAAATAAAAAAAACATTTATTTTTGGTAATTAATATTATTATGTTTTTCAATAATTGTTGTTAGTTATTTTTTTCAGTTACTGGAATTGTATTATTTAAGTTTAGTCAATAAAACTGTTTTGAACAATAGTTTTAGTCTTAGTTAAAGTTTTGTTTTTCAAAAATAACCTTGATGTGTACCAACTCATGCTTGGCCTAACCTTCACAAGGTGTCACTCAGCTGATAAGATCAACTGTTTACATAAAAACGCAGCTTCCTTTCTTCAAACTGATTGTCAGGAAGTGTGAAAACATAAGCAGAATGGTCGATCTGGAATCTCCTTTTCTAAACCACAGCTACGTTAGCCATCTCAAGACCTGATCAGAGAAAAAAGTTTTTAGTTTGACCTCTTTTAGACTCTACCTTGGAGAATTTGGGAATCTTGGCGGGGTCTATTGTTCTGCTGTTCTTAGTCATAGGCACAGTGCTCCAGGTCTCCTCTCTCTGCACCACTGCAACATGAAGAGAAACAGAGTGAAAAACAGAAAGAGTCTCACAGGACTGAGTAAGCTGTAAAGAGGATTAGCCTATAGCACAAGTCTCTCTCTATGACCTGGTCTCCTCTTGTTGTCTTTGGAAAGCAGTTGCTGGTGGACTTTCCTCTGTTCCTCCTGCTCCTCCAGCTTTGCGTCTTTATGGATCTGCTCGATGGTCTTGGGGCCCTGATCTGCTCTTCGAGAAACCCAGTTGTGCTGAGATGAGAGAAGAACATAAAATTTGATCTGGGAACTCCAGAACGACAACCAAAAATAAATGAAACATGACCATGCTGTAACATATTTCATGATTAAGAAAAATGAGGATGATGATAGAATATTCTAAGTGAATTTTTAACAAATATTTAGCCATGTTGAGATTATTATGTCCATTCCTGTGTTGTCAAAAATGTGGAGACAAAACTATAAAATGTAGCCTTTTCAGAGGCTAATTGTTTCTAAATGTCTTTGAATTTGAGTAAATATTACACAAAATAAACGTTAATAGAATTTCTGATGCTTTGCATAATTCCTGTTTGCTATCGTTAAATAGAATACCGTAAGCATGCAGGTACAGTTCAAATGTCTGGTCAGTCATTCATTTTAAAGAAATGTAATTAAATTAATTAATATTATAAATTAATATTTTTATCAAGAAATTTAAATATTAAGTGTTTTAAGCATGTAACTGCCCGCTCTAACAAATGGTTGACCATATTTTAATTGTTTTAAATAATGACTGCTAAAGTAATTTAAAAAAAGATTGATTTTAAATAATGGTTTACACACACAACATTGTTGGTTTACAAAGGAATCAAACAAAAATAATCCTGTTGCCCTACTAGATTAGTAGAACTACAAATACAACTTTATTGTTAAAAAAAAAACATGAAACATGTTGAATGAGAATCTAAAATATTTTATGGCACACTTCAAAAAATAAAGTTGAGTCAGTGTTCAAAAATGTTTTTTTTGGATTTTTTTTCTAAATTGGTCTTACACTTCATATTTTCATATTTTTCATATTACATGTATTAATTCTGGTACCTACCATTAACCAACATATCAAACATTTGGTAGAGGTTGATATTTTAGAAATTATGGGATAAGTGAAAAAATAAATGCATTGAATGTTAACTAGTATATATATATATATATATATATATATATATATATATATATATATATATATATATATATATATATATATATATATATATATACACACACACATATATATCGAATAACTTACGAGCAAAGACAAATAAAAAAAATAGCAAAGATAAGTGAATGATAGTTTTCTGGTACAGATATTGAACAATCAACACTGCATAGCATTTATTGTATACAATTTAAACTTTATTAAAATTACAAACACTAAAGTTTCTTGTGGCCTGATGTTTTAAATGTTCACACAATTACAGGCTTTAAAGGAATATTTCACACAAAAATTAAAAATAACTCACTATTTACTCAGCCTTCACTCGTTTCAAATGTTAGAAGTTTTTTTAAATATATTCTTTTTGTGTTCAACATAAAAAATGAAACTCATAAACGTTTAAAAAAAGTGAGTAAAGTTTAAATTTTGGGTGAATTATCTCTTTAAAAACCCAAGTAGAAGCTAAACTTTTTCTCCATTTTGATTCAACTCTGCACTGATTATAAACAACAATTATCCCAACTCAACATTGAAGATCCTGCGATGTGATTATAGCGAATGAACAAATTGCGATATCAATGTTGAAATGATATATTGTGCAGCACTTTTTTAAAGTACAACTTTGTTACAAACAACATTATAGCAAACCAAACAAGCTTCAAATCATATGCTATACTTCTGAACTTAAGGTAGCTTAAGTAAAAAAAAAAAAAGAAAAGCTTACGTTGACCACAGTATGAAAGCAAACGGAAAACACAGAACTCACCAATCGCAGATCAATAACATCCTGCAGCATGAAGCGAATGCGTGAAGAAGTCTTCCTCTCCTTAACTATCTTCTCCATCTGATTAAAGTACTGATCCATTCGTGGCTATAAAAAAAAAAACAAAGCAAATAAATAACGACATTCAGGTAAACTATGTAGTCACTTGCAAAGTGAGTTGTTGAGGACATTAAAATGACTAATTTGAAACAGACGCTTCTAAGCTAACTTGTAAGATGTTAAACTGCATCCATATGTTCTGTTGAGTATAAGGACGTAAGGACCAGCAGGGGTTTACACAGATTGTCAACAAGTACATAACAGCAAGTGGAAAGAGGAGGGAAGACAGACTCAAGAGTTTCTTTTGACAAGTCCATGGCCAACATAGATTTCTTGAAAAATGCATTGAAATAAGCAACATATTAGTAAATTTAGATGCTGCAACAGAAAACAATACTGGCATAAAGATTAATTGGCCTGTCAATTAAACTGCAAAGGGTAAATTTGCCCTTTCATGCTTTAATTGAATCACAAAGGTGAAAAAATTCTCCATACATTATATTTTGTGGTAGTTATATAGTTATATATACAAATGGATAGAAGCATTAAAATAACTTATGCATATCTATACTGGTGTGTAATAAAACAATATAGTGGTGAAAATATGATACAAAAAAACTAGATTAAAACATATTTGTTTAACATCAAATTATTTACACTACCTGTCTGATTTTCTGAGAATAAAAGCCATATATCACATCATTTATTTTTATTTAATGCCATCTCAGCAACAAAGGATACATTTATGGCAAAACTATTTCACTAATAAATATACAATTAAAAAAAAACACAAACAAATGAAAACATGAATTAAGAATTTAAAAAATAATGCAGCACAAATATTCCCCCAAAAATTTGCTGGTGACACTTTGCTGAATTTTTTCCTTAGTTGAGTTTCTGAGAATAAAAAAGATTTTTACACTTATTCCTGAGGTACTCATTGCATTTTCTCATCCCTCTGCCATTTTGCACCTATGATTCAATATATCAAAACAACAAAAGCTATACACAAAAACTACAGTGAAACAGAATTGAAGATGAATCTTTGGGGGTTCCGCACTTGATGATTGGTTTATGTTGATAAATAGTTTCCAAATACACCATAACACAACCACCAAGAGCTGAACTCTCATCACTGTATAGTTTAATTTCATTTACCAATTGTCTATGTAGCCCTTTTTGTTTTGCAATGTCGAATAATAAAATTAAAATGCATGATAAGGTTAATAGATGATAATCATTTTTGTCATTAAATTTAATGTAATTTATTTATTTAACAGGGACAGTGCTCATTAATCAACAGTAAAAACTGTAAAGAACCCAGAGTTAGCTAGAAGGGCTAATTTTAACCAGATTAAATTAAAAAAAATTACACATACAATATCAATAAAACTACATATAACAAAATATAAATATGAAAAATGTATAATTTGATTCAAAACTACAAAATAATGACACATAATTATAAACTTGCTTCACTTTTTGCCATTTTTTTTTCAACTAGTATTTAAATGTTGAGTAATTTGTTATACCCCGTAATTCAATTGGAATGCAACCAGGAAATGAATGTGTATCCCATTTTTAATGCTCAACCTGGACAAACCGTGCTTACCTTAGCTTTCTCAAAGTCCAGGTCCTTTCCAATAGTGGTGAGCAGTCTACACAGGCACTCCAGTGATTCCTCATCATGGTTTTTCAGCAACTTCACCACGCAGTCATGCATGATGGCCTCTGTCAGCATCCGCAGCTTGAAGAGCTCGCCGATGAACTTAATGTTGCCAATGGAGCGTCTTCGGGCCTTGTCTTTGGCCTCTTCCAGCTCCTCCTGAAGCCTCTCCCGCTCACTGGACTGAGAGAGAATGAGAAAAGCATGTCAAATTGATAACTGAGGGCCGGATGCAGCAAAAACTGAATTACTGAATACTTAAAAAAAAAAAAGAAATGTATTTATATGATATGTTTAATAAAGATAACATTAGCAGTAGTTTGGAACATTCACATAAGCACGATTACAAGTTCAATACTGATTTTGTACAACAGTGCAACAAGTTAATATTAAAAAGAAAACATGAAAAATTGTCTAAATTTGTATCAAGAACTACACGTTCATGAAGTTGAGGAGATGAGAGTAATTCAATTTGACAGGTAAATTATTCATATGTATATAACAAATATTACAATTTATTAAATAAGAATTAACAGCAGATATAAAATGTTATTGCTCATATGATAATGCACACAAAAACTTTTGTTTTGAATCTTTACTTATTGTTTGGGTATTAGCACAATAATTATTAGTACATTTTTGATAATACATTTGATAATACATTTTTGATAATACATTGCATTACATCACATTGCACATTGGTTTCCGCTACATTTATTCTTCTATGGCGGGGCGCCACACCAAAATTCATCCCACCATGGCTACACTAAAGCTTCTCATTCAAAACCTTCAGTTGTATTTTTTTTCTTCTTTTTTTTTCTAAAAACAAGCTATAATCGCACCGAAACGTATAAAAAGGTAAGTTAATTATAACAGCACAAACTTTTCTGTAATCGTCGTAGTGCTGTGCGTTATTTGTTTAAACCTTTAAGGTAACATGCTGACTGTCTGACTGACTGACAGGTGTGAGATGCGTGAGGCTAACAAACACAACTTAGCTTTCAGTTAATAAGAACACAGTTTACATAATTATACTTTATAGATAAAGATCTTTGGCTCTGCATTCAATGACTTTATCTTGCTGGAGTTTAAAGCCGTTTTACTTCAGGACACATTAATACCGCACTGTAGGTCTATTGGGGACATTCATAAATATTCCCAGCAAATCTAATAAATGTTGGAGGCATACACTTCAGTAGCCTTTATTTAAGCGCACAAGAAAATCTGTACTTGAGCAGCGTATATTGAAGGGAGAAGTACGAGAAGTTTTGTGCATGAACAGAGATCGGAACGCAAGCAAAGCATGCTTGAATTGCATGAATGCAACCTTGACTTGTAATATTGCGCTCACAACATTTGTCATGGAAATATCGCCATAGGTAGTTGGTAGATCTGTGTAAAGGGCCTGCCGACACAGCTGGAAAAAATCCTAGAGGAAACACTGCATTGTATTTGATCATATTAAAATAAAAAAATAAAACATATTTACGACTGCTAAAAAAGTTATTAAAATCCACATGAATAATTACAAAATAAACTGAAAATTCTCACAGCATTTATTAAACATAAAATTTAGCATATATACAATCTGAATACATTGTGAGCCATTTAATGGGACAGTTTACTCAATTTACTTTAATGGATTTTCTTTATTCTGTTGAACACAAAATAATATAGTCTGAATGATGTTGGGAAAAAGCAGGTAATGACATCCATAGTTAGAACAAAAAATACTATGGAGGTCAATGGCTGTTTTTTTTTCTCTCTAACACTTCAGAATATCTCCCTTTTTATTCAACAGAATAAAGAAACTCAAACAGGATTGGAACAGATGGGGGACGATGACAGAATTGTCACTTTTTGGGCAAACTATCCCTTTAAGAGCAACATTCTATGTTTGAGCACATACCGCAGTAGCTGCCTCCAGCTCCCTGTGTTTCTTCTCAAAGGCATCGTCATCCATCTTGTCCTTCTCAAACTCTTTCTGACAGCGGTTCAGAAGCAGCTTCCGGAAATTCACAGTGCTGTTGGGCTTATCCGTCATGGGCACTTTTAACTACAAACACAGCATGTGTATGCAAGTGAATGATTTAGATGTGCTGAGGAATATCATCCTGTTGTATTTCAAGATAAACATGGTCAATCTAAATTACAAATAAAAATTTTGTTAATGAATTAGTGTGATATTAAATTTGTCTTTATAAGACATATCTTTTTTTAATTCTATACAAATATAATAGTATATGAAGTAGTATGTGCAATTTTATGTATATTGTGTACGTGTTTATATGTATGCATGCACAGTGTGCATGTACACTCACGGCCACTTTATTACTTATACTTTACTTGTATCGTCTTGGACCCCATTTTGCCTTCAGAACTGCCTTAATCCTTCGTGGCATAGATTCAACAAGGTACTGGAAACATTCTTTAAAGATTTTAGTCCTTGTTGACATGATAGCACATCCTTTTATGCGTTCAGAGATGCTCCTCTGCATCATGAGTGGTTATTTGAGTTAATGTTGCCTTTCTATTAACTCAAACTAGTCTGGCCATTCTACTCTGTCCTCTCCTCTGTCGCCCACAGAACTGCCGCTCACTGGATATTTTCTTTTTTTCGGACCATTCTCGATAAACCCTAGAGATGGCTGTGCGTGCAAATCCTAGTGGATCAGCAATTTCTGAAATACTCAGAGCAGCTTGTCTGGCACCAACAAACAAGTCACGCTCAAAGTCACTGAAATCACCTTTCTTCACTATTTTGATGTGCGGTTTGCACTGCAGTAGATCGTCATGACCATGTCTACATGCCTCAAAGCATTGAGTGGCTGCCATGTGATTGGCTGATTAGAAATTTGCATAAATGAGCAACTGGACAGGAGTACCTAATAAACTGGCCGGTGAGTGTATATTCACATGTATGTACTGTACTGTGTGTGTGCATATATGTATGCGCATGTATGCATTTATCTGAGTATATATCTGTTCTTTATTTTTTTTATTTGTTTTTACATTTGTAGGAAAAGTGCTAAACAAAAAAAACATTATTATTATTATCTTTATTGTGATCTGAATATGAGGTCTAACTCACCGTGGCCAGACAGCTGCACATGTTGCCGTAGGCCACAGAGAAGCTGGGCTCATTGATTGCTTTTTCAAAGACCAGATCTATGACACCCTTGAGTCGCTCCTCTGTGTCGATGGTGAGGTCAGTCACCTGCTTCATCAGCTGGCTGAACATCTGCGGTGTCAGTTTATTGAGAATACTGCGCACTTTTCGGAAAAGCTCCTGCAAAAAAATAGCAGACGCATTGTTGAAATGTTATCGAAGACAACAATCAATCTAATGTGATTTTACAAAGCAGTTTTCTCATAGTGGTTCTTACTGAGCAAGTTACATTTCAGCAGCAATATTTTCTGTTTTATTTGTTTTCTCAATTAAAAAATTTTTACAAAGCCAGAGCAGAACACTTGCAAATCTCAGAGCAACAATGCTTGGTGTGTTTACATTTTTTAAATTAATACGTTTTGGACAAATCATTTGAATCAATAATCCATTCATAAAGAGAAACTTGCCTGGTTTCTAACAAATCTTTGAAAATTAATTAGGTATACAACAAATTTTCGAATGAGAAAAATAAATAAATAGAACACACACAGCCCAGCAGTTTCCGCACATATGGAAAGACTGCATTATGAAACCCATTCATTTCAATGGCTTGCACCATACAAGAGCAGCTTGTTGCTGCACTGACCAAAGCATAAGAGCAGCAAAGCACAACATCGAGTAGCTTGCACACACACCACGCTCAAAATTCAAAATAGCTTATTATTCCACTAATTGGATATTATGCTTACGAACGCTTCATTTATCTATGTATGAACCGCACATGCTCACCAGAACAGCAAAGTTCGCACAAACAACGCACACAGGACTTTCCATGCAGGATACCATTCCAGCTGTCTGTAATAGCACTACTGTGATGTCATGGCAATGCAGGTAATTTGACACTTCTTGACTCATTCATCATCAATAAAACGTTACTAACAAGAAAAACTTTTTTTTTTATTATACATTTAGTTATTATAAATAATTTCAAGTCTTACAAAATAACGTTATTTTAATGTAATAAAATGTATCAATAAAACTATTACAAAGCATTTTTGGCTTCGATTTCTATTGAATAATGACAGAATTTTCTTTTTTGTGGGAACTATCCCTAGGACAAGGACTTATTGCCTCCTACTGGCTGTGTCACATTTCTTTATCCATGACAAGCCTAGACTAACCAACGTATGACGTTGATATCAATGCATCAACAATAAAACGTTTGATTATTTTTTTATCAAAGTATTAAAGTGCAATTAGACCTGAGTTCTCTGGGCATCTGGATCTTCAACTGCACCTTCCCGCTTCATGCCAGGCTTCCAGGCATTCTCTGTTGTCTTCAGCTGCACCTCATCAATCACAGACACGTTTGTGATGATCTTGCGTCCAGGTGGCCGTCGCATGCCAACATTCAGCAACTGAAGGATCAGACACAATCATGTAACGCAGGCAAAGATTCTAATATGGCAACTACAGTAAAATATCTGAAAATATGCTTCTTTTTTTAAACATCTAATTTAGCTCCTTTATACATTACTTTTCCATCTATAAAAAGGATCGACTTCGGTACCATTTAATAGTGAAATTTTAAAAACTGTTGAGCACCTTCTTAAACACCAATCTACGGCTGTTTATCAAGTACAAACACAGATACAAGGACATTTGAGCATCTATAAGCAGATGGCACATATCTCTGCTCATAGACGAAAAAGTCCAGAATGGCATATTAGCATTTTTTAAGAATGTGCTTAACTGCGCTCAAATGTTGGACAATTTAAAATGTCAGTATTGATTGGTACCACAGTCGACACTTTTGAAACCTTATCAAGCACAGCATTGAATTTAGAATATAATACAAAAATGATAAGTATATTTTGACTAAGGTAGTGTGAACTGAAAATGCTTTTATTTGTTGATGAAAATCTGAAATAAAATAAAGTGAATAATTGAAAATAACATGACAAACCGGTGCCCCTCTGCCTCCTGAAATGGGTCGGCTGAAATCCGCAAACGCTGGCGTAAAGTCCGGGCCTCTGGAAAGCACACGTGGGTCTACCGGCCGCATGGGCAGCTTATTTTGGTTAATCTGTTCAGTGAGGCAGAAACACATTAGGCTTCTCCTTAAGAACATCTTTCCACTCTGTACAAGAGCAGTAATGAGTTTTACAAGAACTTAAAAGAGGGACATAATCAGGTTACAATATCCTTTTCTGTCCATAGCAGTCCATTTAATGGTGCGACACAAATTAATTCTGGTACAAGAGAGAAATTTTCATTATATCTTTCATTTACTCTGAAAACCATGACACATGAACCAAGAATATCACTTTGAGGGGTTCATTAATATGAACTAGATGCTGTAGAATGAACTTTTTATAATTAATATCTATTATATCACTGGCTGACCTTATCTAGAACAACATCAGAAATGGGAGGAAGCCCTTCTGGTTTCTGCACACATGCAGGCATAAACTGGAAGCCCAGCAGGAAGTCTCTGTTGTACTGCTTCTTTCCATTCTTCTCTGCAGGCTCTGCAGAAGAGCAGAAATGCTTTTAGTGGTAAAACCTGGCAGATGTAGGCGAAGGAAACTAGAGAATGTTGTAGAGAGTTAGCCTTACGTGGCAATACTTTGATCAACGGCTCTTTGACTGCAGGCGGGTGGATGCTGTCACTGCTCTCAGTTTCAGAAGTGTGTTCAGCACCGTTTCTCAAAGGCTCCACTTCCTGTTCTCCATTCTCCTCGAGCACTGCTCCTACTGATGGCCTCCTCTCCACCTCCACAGGAGGAGGACTGGGGCTTTCAGGAGCAGGTTCCATACTGGCCTGATCAGTGTCCTCCTGCAAAACACACAAACACACTTTAAGCTCACATTAGACCAGACCTAATGAAAGAAACAGAGTTTGTCAAATCAAACATCTTAAATACTACAAAGCTGCACATGTTGATGTTACTGTCATTGTGTGAATATTTTGTAATTGATTATGGGAATTTTAAAATATAGTACAATCAAATAGCTACTACCCAACACTATGTGTGTCCCTATGCAAGTATGTGTATATATTAGGAGTGTGAACCTACACTGGTCTCATGGTTCGGTTATGATTATGCTATCGATTAAGTTCAATTCGATATCACTGTGCATGACAGTGCATTGACAATGCTTTACATACACAAATTTATTTTTTACTTCACATCACACGAAAAAAAGGTTTTAAAATCTATAAATACATTTCTATTTATCTATTATTTGTAATACAATTTTAGCCTTCAATACGAGCAGTTAGATAAATTAATTGTACCTTTAATTTTATCTTTTTGAATGTTTTAAACAAAACTCAAATACATGCAAACAAGACAACATGAATATTTAAAGCAAATAAACTAATGTCAAGCGAGTTCTTACACTCCTATGATTGGTCATTGTCTTCACCTACTCAAGAGAAAGGGCTGCGATTGGCTTTGATGCTCCAGCACTGTTCACTGATAAGTGACATGGAAAGTACATCCACGGTTACAGTGTATATGAGCATAATGTGTGGTCATTAAAGGTAATCAGTAATAGACACGGTGGAGAAAACTCGCACTACAGACAGAGCCGAGAGGAGAGTTAAAGTTATCTCACGAACACGCCACGACTTCTAGTTGGCAGCTGATGCGTATAAAGAGTCACATTATCTATTTTACTTGCTTTTAACTCTTTGAACTAATACTGTTATCGATCAGCGTCACCTCCTGGACTGGTTATTTTAAAAAATGCAATCTAACAGGATGGAAAACAATTGCTGCAAAGCATTTTTCCCTCGTTGTCAGACGGCATATTGTGCCATTTAAATGGAGCCTCATCATTGCTAAAGTGATCTTTTTTCTCTCTCTTTCAAATATATAACCAGCCCAAACAAATGTAATTGACCAAAATGTTTGGCACACCCATAGCCTGTACTGTCCCACTAACACATTGATTGAATAAGTGTCAATAAAGTGGCATTTTGACAGAAAAACACATTCCGTGGTAAAAACTACACATAAATGAAACCAACTAAATGAAACATTTCGTTTCATTTAAAAGATAAATCGTCTTCCAATTAAAATCAACATGCAAATCAGCTAGCAAAGTACCAGTAACACTTTTATCGGTGATTTTTGGAAACTGCATGGCTTGCAGCTTGTTTCATGCCAGTAATATGGTTTGTTCTTTAAAATGCAGTGAGGTATTGTGTGTGTGTGTGTGTGTGTGTGTGTGTGTGTGTGTGTGTGTGTGTGTGTGTGTCTGTGTGTGTGTGAGTGTACATTGAAGAGCCGCTGAGTACAGTATAACAGCTGACAGGTCGGGAACACTGACGCTGTATTTCAGCGTCTGATCTGATAGCAGACACTGAATTAGGAGAGTATTTTTCGGTCGCACTTGTACCACATTAGATAGAAGCTTTAACACACGTCTTTCTTTCAAAATTAAAGTTTTGCATCACAAAAACACTCCTTAAGCCACTCAACAGTATTGACACGCAGCTGAGAAATGCTGCTCTGGCTGATGAAAATTCTTAACGAAAGTTCTAAGCAACCTACCAGAAGGCCCTGGGACCTCATGTATCAACGCTGCATACGCACAAATGGCGAATGTGCATTTCTTGTGTGTGTTTGTTTTATTTCCATTGGCGACTCCTAGAGGCAATCATGTTAAATTGCACACTACAAAGCATCTTTGTGCTGTGCAATGCCACCTGTATGGTACGGGATCATCTGCATGTCTAGCAGGTATATAAGGTTTCCATACCATGCAGTTGACCAGCCAAACATTAAAGCTCAATTTGCAGCAATCGCCAGTTTTCTCAATGTAATCGGAGCAATCGACTGCACGCACATTGCTATAAAGGCGCCATCTGCAGACAAATTTGAATACGAGAATCAGAAACATTTCCATTCAATAAATGTGCAAATAATATGTGATGCTCAAGTGCGCTTAACATATTACACACACTTATTATTGATTTCTTCGAACCGTGTTCATGATTGATTGTGTCAAAACATGTTGCCATGAGCTTTACGAGCTATGCCACTGCTGCTCACTTTAGTCATGTTGTCCCTGTCAATCAAACGGTGATGGGCGGGAATCACTCAACTAGCTCATTCCAACGAGGTGTGCTATATCCACTTAGCCTAAATAGACACTACAAAATTGTACACCTTTACATCGAATCATTTCTTTTTTAGTTTGCTCACAGTGCGATGTTCAGAATTCCGGATGACAAACTAGCAAATGACAACATTTTTCTCCGGTCTACCTCCAATAGGAGCACCTCCATTTCACATTCTGTGAAGTTTCTCTTTTTGCTTGATTTTGACATTGCTTTTTCGTTTGGTTTTGCCAAAGTGGAGTCATAACCATATTCATACGGGGACGGAGGCAGGGAGGGGTTTTGCGCTCGAGCATGTGCGCTCAGTTTCACGTTAATTCGGATGTACAAAGAGAATATGCCTGGGATTCCACATACGCAGCATTTTATACATCTGATTTTTTCACTGCGCATGCACATTTACAGCTTTGTCCGCATGTAATGTTTTAGTATTAATTCAACGCAAGTCTTCTTACATAAGGCCCTAGGTCACTATGACGCCCTCAATGCAGCAACAAAAAAAAGTCTGTAATTCAGCAAATTCTGCACGTTTGCATTTGTTTGTTTGTTTTACCTCTTTGTCTGGACACTGATCTTGCCCTACAGGCATGTCCTCTTTTGGCTTCTTCCAGGTCTTTGGTGCACTAGATGTAGCTGTAAAACACATTATTGTGTTATTTGAACAACACTTGCACCATTCATCTAACGACCTGCAAACATTTAAAGCGCTTACCTTGATTTGAGCTTTTTCTGGACTGTAAGAAAGGCTCTCCTCTCTTGTCCGGCAAGGCCTCGTTTTCCTTCCCTGTTTCTTTGATCTCTGCTCCATTAGAGGGTCTCCTGTCCAACGCTGCAGAAACCTGACTGGGGTGCGAGAGTCCTGGAGGAGGAGCAGGAGGAGTGGTGGAGATAGCAGCAGTCGTGGAGGTGGAGAGGGAGGGGGAAACGTTGTCAGGACATCCAGCATCGTCCTCAACAGGAGGCAAAGGACTGTTCATATTGATTGGATCAGACTCTTCCTCCAGCACCGGTGTGACTGGCCTGGGCTCTGACTGGGGCACACTGGAAGTAGGCAGCAATGGAGAGGCTTCCCTGGGTTGGGTTTCCAATTCTTCACTCAGTGGAGCAGCGTCAACATCCGTGAGCCCATTGACGGCTTTTTCGTGCTGGGTAAGGGATCCAGACAGACTTTGAGGTGGTGGTGAGGAGGATTTCTCTGGCTCAGAGCTCTCTGGTTCAGGTGTGATAGCTTTAGTGAGACTGGGCTCAGCTAATGGGCTCGGGGCATCAGCTGACTCTTCTGTTGAGGCAGGTATGGAAGGAGTCGGGGCTGTAGCTACACTTGAGGCCGTCTCTGAGTCGGAGGGGGGAAGCTCAGGTTTGTGTGGGGGAGAGGAGGGTGTTTGGACTGGGCTGCTGGGATCTCTTCTCTCCAGAGGAGTGTCGGGCTGCCGCAGACCAGGAGATGCAGTTCTTTGCAAGGAAAACTCTAGTTTTGGCTTATCGTCTAGAGGTGGAAATTAAACAAGAAAATGTATCAGACGTACACTTCACAAACTTCTATAAATGTGGCATATTCTTTATTCTTACTGACAAATAAAGTACTTTTGAGTCTGAAGTGTCACCTAAATCAGAATTTCTCAATCCCGGTCCTCACGAGCCATCACTGCACATTTTATATGCTTGTATATTTTATATAACTTAACATTTGTCCTTATGAGTTGTTCACATGTCGCATATAAAACGTGGAGAAAACATGAGGTGTACTGCTTTCTCCAGCATGACTGACAAACCTTAGAAGCCAGATTTATACTTTGTTTAAAGAGACTTACGAATTCAACATGAAGAGGTAATGCACACAGGAATTTCTACTGTAATAACATTTATTTATAATTTATAGAAATAAACTAATACTTAGAGAGCTAAAGTAAAGATGAGGAGGGGATTTATTTTCATTTATTCATATTTAAAATGCTTACAGAAGACAGTTTTAGTTGCCATTTGAATGATACAAAAGAATTAGCCGTCCAGGTGGGATTGGGAAGATTTTTCCACCATCGAGGAAGTTTTATTTAATAAGACTTATTTACGGAGGTAGGAAAAATTGGTCATAGTGTTTGGGTTTTCTCATTTGTCTGAGGTAATTAGTCTACTTTATAACTGCAGGCAGTGGCATTGTGCAAATCACAAAGAGTCATTACTTTAATAATACAATTTCCTAGATGCCAATAAGAACATCCAACATTCAAAATACATTTTTGTGTTCAGAAAAAAATGCAACTCTTAAGGTTAATACATTTACCTTTTTTAAGGTTTTAAGGCTTTTACACACAACTTTCAATACAAACTATTCACACTTTGGGAAACTATACCTGAAAACTCCTGCATACATATTCAAAACATTGTGACAATTATGTACCATATCAGAAAATTGGATGCGTCTTTATGTCCTGTTATAATATCCCTCGTTCATACACCGAGCACTTGAGAATGGCCTACGTGAACATGCAACTTTAGTCTTTTTCTGTTTGTGGCTTTTGATAAATGTATTTCTATTTGTGGCTTTCCAATACAACTCCCCATCAGTGCTTTTCCAATTTAGTTCCTCTGCTCACAGACGACTGAATTCAGTTTAATATACTGTTTAATATACTGCAGGCTCATTTACTGATAATACATAACAGATATCAGATCACATTGATGGTAAAAAATAAAATGATATTGGTTTTTTTTTTTTTTTTTTTTTTGAAGCTGCAATTGTAGATTTGTCTTGTGACAGTTAAAAACAGCTCTATTAGAGGACAGTGACTTTAGAAACACTTTCTACTCCATCTTGTCAGCATTTAACATTAAGGCATCTTCATGAAAGGGCTGAGCTTACAGTTATGTTAATTTAGTACAAATAAAATAACTGTTATTACATCTAGGGATTAAATAATAAATACCATGTACAATGTATGTTCATTTATTTTCTTCACTGTGATTAAATTATTACAAAACTAAAATATTACATTTAAAAATAAATGTTTAATTAACATTTTGTTAGCTATATAAAAAGAATCAATGAATTTTAAAATTCCATGTGTTTAATATAGGTGCATTTATGATTTTTTTGTGACCATTACTAAAATGAATAAGAGGCTGAACAACAGATCAATGGTTTTCAACTGGTTTTGCTTCAGGATCCAAAATTTAAGCTGGCCATCAATTGCGAAAATTAAACCTAATTCTATTCAGGATTTTAAAAACAAAGGAAGACACACAAACCTTGGTAAGCTTCTCTCAAATCATGAAAGCAAAAAACAATACAGCCTTTAACAGGAGAAATGGGACATATTTACTAAAAATCATAAAGGTTGGTTATACTGACGGTAGCTAGACAAATATCAGGTACTGCATCATATATTGCACTTGCTGCAGCCATGGTACAAGAGCAAAATTACTGCGATGAAATGAGAATATAGTTGCTATACATATCTTTTTTTTTTGTCAATTTTAGTGCTTAATGAAACTACAGATAAGTCGAGCTTTAAATAGTAAAAATATCAAACATCTTTGGTCATTTTTGAGGGTGATGCTAGTGGTGTAATCCGATTCAATAATTTATGCTAAGCTAAGCATCATCACAAGTCAGACCCGGAGATCGGCTGAATAAATAAAAAAAAATGTCAAAACTCATTGTTAACTCTAGCGGAGATGTAAAATGAGCCTACTTCTAAAAAAAAGTGTAGAATTCCAAGACATTACATAAGGTAAAGGCTTGTACAATATTTTAATTAAATCTGTTTGGTCATTTTTGAGGGTGATGTTAATTGTCTAATTTGATTCACTGATCTATGCCAAGCTAGGCTAAGCATCATCATCAAGTCATACCCGGTGATCAGCTGTATGGATTAAAACATGGCAAAAGTCAATTGTTAACTCTGGTGGAGTTGTAAAATGAGCATATTAACAAAAGAATAGAGGCATTGCATATGATTTACATATGGTTTTATTATAGGTATGTGCAATGTATTAATCAAATCTGTTTGGCCATTTTTGAGAATGATGATAATGATTTAATACGATTCAATGATTAATGCAGAGCATCATCAAAAATCAGACCAGAAGATCGGCTGAATGGATTAAGAAAATGGTAAAACTCATGTGCTAACTTTAGCAGAGATGTAAAATAAGCCTATTTTCCCACCCAAAAATATAGAATTCCTTTAATCCATTGACTGCCCCTCTACCAAAAGGTTGACCATGTTTTTGCTGTTATTGACTGTTATGTCATTTAAAAAATGTTTGGCTTTTTTGTACAAAAAATGTTGAAATGAAAATCTGAAATATTTTATGGAATACTTCAAAAAAAAAAAAAAGATTTAGTATTTAGTATTCAAATGTTTTAATATTCAAAAATGTTTTATTTTGAATAGGTTTTAAATAAACTGCTCTTTTTACTTAATATTTTCTGATTTTTTATAGTATATACAGGGATGATGCTAATGGTCTAATCTGATTCAATGGTTTATGCTAAGCTAAGTTTTATTGTAAGACCTGGATATTGGCTGAGTGGATTAAGAAAAAAAGTAAAACTCAACCATTAACTACAGCAGAACTGTAAAATGCGCCAATTTTACATTAATAAAAGAACATTAAATTAAATTTTAAGAAGTGGAGAATTCCTTCACACCAACACACATGGCTTACATATGGTTTTATATAGGTATGTAAAAAAAAAAAAATCAAAATCATCATTTTTAGGCTGATGCTGACAAATCTAAACTGGAGATCAGCTGATTAGTTAAACCAAAATTGGCAAAACTCAATTTTTAACTCAGTAAAAAATAAATCAAACCCATTTCCCAAAAAAGTCTAGAATTGCTTAAAGACATAAAATGTGGTTTTATTATAGGCATGCACATTTTTTCTATTGTTGCCTACGACTCTCAGACCCATGACCCATTCATTGTTGGGTGTAGAAGCACCAGTTGAAAACCCTTACTCTGAACCTGTGGATAGAAGGTGACAACTGTAGCAAAGCCTTACCTGCTTTCAAGTTGAAGGATGCTGGAAGGTGCGGGCTGCTGTCCACATTATACATGATGTGCCCATGATCTGCTACCTGGCTGTTCAGCTGCTGGGATTTGAGGTAGAAAATGTGAGGATAATGAGGGTGTGGACATAAAAACTAGCAACATATAGACACAAGGCACGCGCACACACATGCAGACAAAGACAGAGCAGGGGAAAACAGAAACGTAGAAAATGGACAGGAGAGAAGGGGCAGAAATGGACAAAACATGGGAAGGGAAAAGGGGAAAGAGAGCAAAGGAGAGACGAACACTGTTAACATTCAAGGAGAGAAGACAGAGGAAGTGTCAAAATATAGTGAGCACAACCTTCTATATAGAGACAGTGCCTTTGATGAGGGGTTTTCAAAATGCCAGACACCCCATCCTAAAATAAATAAGGCATCTGTATGGTTTCTTGTATAAAACTTTAATCATTTAATAACCAATTTATTTATTTTGATCACATTTTTGTAAAATTCTACATTGTACATTTTTTGTTTACATTTTGTATTCATTTGTATTAATCAAATGAACTTTTATGAATTTATTTTTATTTTACCTAAAATTTGTGCCAATTTACAACTACATTTCATTTTATTTTGCATTCTATATTTAGTTATTTATTCTAATAAAAAGTTGTATCATGTAGTTTTCTTAATTTTTTATTTTTATAAATAATTTTTTTTTTTACTTTTACATGTTTACATTACTTGTTAGGCTTTTCACCCAGCACTTTCTGAACCAAGTCATAAATCTTATTTTATGCTAAACCCCACCAATTTTGACCCACAAACTATAATATACACTCACCAGCCACTTTATTTTGTAAACTGTCAAACTGTTTAACACAAATTTCTAATCAGCCAATCATATGGCAGCAACTAGCCATGTAGACATGGTCAAGACGATCTGCTAGATCTCATAGAAAGGCAACAGTAACTCAAATAAACTCGATACAAATGAAGTATGCAGAGGAGCATCTCTGAACGCACAATACTTCAAACCTTGAGAGGTATGGGCTACAGCGGCAGAAGACCACACCGGGTGCCACTAATGTAAACAGGAAACTGAGGCTACAATTCACACAGTCTCACCAAAATTGGACAATAGAAGATTGGAAAAACGTTGCCTGGTCTGATGAGTCTCAATTTCTGCTGCAACATTCAGATGGTAGGGTCAGAATTTGGCATCAACAACATTAAAGCATGGATACCTCCTGCCTTTTATTAACGGTTTAGGCGATGATGGTGGTGTAATGGTGTGGGGGACATTTTCTTGCCACATTTGAGGCCCATTGATACTAATTGAGAATCGCGTCAACGCCACAGTATTGTTGCTGACCATGACCATTCCTTTATGACCACAGTATACCCATCTGTTTATGTCTTTTCCAGCAGGATAACGCTCCATGTCATTAAGCACGAATCATCTCAGACTGGTTTCTTGAACATGAAAATGAGTTCACGGCACTCAAATTGCCTCCACAGTCACCAATCTCAATCTCTGGGATGTGGTGGAGCGGGCAATTTGCATCATGGATATGCAGCCGACAAGGCTGCAGCAACTGCGTGATGCTATCAAGTCAATATGGACCAAAATCTCTGAAGAATATTTCCAGTACCTTGTTGAATCTATGCCACAAAGGATAAGGACAGTTTTAAAGGCAAAAGGGGGTCCAACCCAGTACTAGTAAGGAGTACCTTATAAAGTAGCCGGTGACTGTAAACCCCATCTGTAGTGTGTGTGTGTGTGTGTGTGTGTGTGTGTGTGTGTGTGTGTGTGTGTGTGTGTGTGTGTGTGTGTGTGTGTGTGTGTGTGTGTGTGTGTGTGTGTGTGTGTGTTTATATAAATACATTGTTTAGTTTCTGAAAGTAAATGTTACTTTATTGCAAATTCTAATATTCTAATATTTAATTGTTGTTTTATTACAATTTGGTTTCAACCAAGTTTAATTTACCAAAGCTGTATTGTGTGTAAACTTAATTTACACACTTAATATCCAGCAGTTTGGAAACCCCTGTTTTACATCAGGCACACTGAAGGTGAGTAATAGTCTACTAGAGAGTGTAGATGAGGAGTCACTGTAAAGGTAACACACAGGGATCAGGATGACACAAACACTCATGAGAAAGTACTACAAGACAGCTGACATGATATGCAACATTTTTCAAAAACCCTAAAATACACAGTTGCTTTGTTCGCTGTTCGTTAAAAGTGCATTACACTGCATAAAAGATCAAATTGTTAAGTAATAACCACTGAGCAAAGGCGCTGACCTGAGGACATAAGCTTTGGCTTTAGATAAGAAGATAAACTCCTGATTATGAAGGAATGGAAACTCTGGCAGTGTGGCTTTAAAGTCAATAAGTGGGGCTGCTATGATATAAAGACTATATGTATATTAGTGTGTTCTGGTTGGTTTCCAACTGGCTCTGGTAAAAAAAAAAATCAATAAATATAAATAAATATATACATACATACAAAAGTATTAATATTATTAACTTTAACCACAAACAAGGTGCAAAATACTGAAAATAACCCACAAACAAGGTGCAAAATACTGGAAAAAAAAACTATATCAAACTAAATATACATGTGTACACTGTTAAGAGCTGCAGAATTCTAAATGAGAATCAATTCAGAATTTGCAATTTTTGTTTAAAATAATAGAGCTGAATATTCTAACACAATTCTGAATAGACATCTCAAAGGGATAGTTCACCCAAAAAAATGAACATTCCCTCATTATTTACCCACCCTTAAGTGGATACAAACATTTATGAATTTCTTTTTTCTGTTGAACATAAAAGGTATTTTGAAGAAAGCTGAAAACCAGTAACCACTGACTTGCATAGTATGAAAAACAATTACTATGGAAGTGAAGTTAGAGGTTCCAAGCTTTCTAATCTCAAAATATTTAATTTTATGTTCAACAGAAAAAAAAAGAGAGAAAAACAGATTAGTAAAGGGTGAGTAAATCATGACATCATTTTCAGTTTTGGGATAATTAATATATATATATATATATGGAGTATATATGGATGGATAAATGGATAGATAGATAGATAGATAGATAGATAGATAGATAGATAGATAGATAGATAGATAGATAGATAGATAGATAGATAGATAGATAGATAGATAGATAGATAGATAGATAGATAGATAGATAGATAGATAGATAGATAGATAGATAGATAGATAGATAGATGTTACTAGATTCTAATAATTTACTAAAATTTGAGAAAAATATTCCTTCATAAAAATAAAAAAAAATCTCAAATGAATTTGAAAGAATCATTCAATAACTCACTCTTAAAGACTTCACGTGTACTAGATGGATCAGCATTTATCATGAATCTATTGAATTTCAAGTCATTAATTAAACAATGTTATTGTTAATGCCTTCATTTGAATTAAGCTGCCTTCAAACAATTATTTTGAAAACAGACATATGTTTACAACAAAACTATAAGTTATCTCAGCACTTCTGTCACAATTTCAATGCTTATAACTCAGAAAAAAGAAATGCTAGTTAAAGATGTTTAACCATACAAGAGGCCGGCTCTCTTGAATAAACATGCTAATTGTGATCATTTAGAATTAAGATTACAATGGTGTTTGAACCAAAATCTTTTAACAATGACTTAACTTTGGTTTTAGTGTGTGATTCGATCTTTGATTTGCCATCTTACCTGTGGAGGTGTAGGAGTGGAAGAGGGCCGTCCCACAGGCGGGGTTGGGTTTCGACTCAAACCCACTCCTGATAATATTTCGTCTGTGACATCCTTGCCACCCTGGTTAGGGTCTCGGATGCGGATCTTTGAAAATAAAAATAAATTAATCGAAAAAGCAGACAAAGGATAAACCAAAAGCTTAAATAAAACATTCTCAGTGTTTGTTAAAGCCAGAAATGTAAAAGGCTGTATTTCAATGTGTAAAAACTGAAAACAAATCAAAATGTAAACTCTGTGGCAAAAGACGATGCAGAACAATAAGTTAATGTAGACTCACTGTTTTCTTTTCCCTCTTAGCAGGTGGAGGTTGTTGTGGTGTAGGCACTATAATGGGTGGAGATGGTGTGTACACGGGCTGCCCAGGATAGTAGGGAGGTCCTGCTGCTCATAAAACATACAAGAAAAATTCCGTATTAAAGTAAATGATGACAATTCTTGCTCTTTGAGTGAACTATTCCTCCAAGTATATAAAAATAACTTTTTTTTCTATAAGCTTGAACCAATCACTCACACCTGACCTGTGCATGAAAACCCTGTAGACCTACAGTTTCTGCAGCCTGCCTGGCACTAAAACCCCTGACAATTTCTCTTAAATCATCTTTCTCATTCTGATGCTCTGCTTGAACGTTGACAGATTATCTTAACCACATCTACATGCTTAAATGAACAGGGTCTTAAATGAACATTGGCATGTGATTAGTTTTAGGGTTGTGACAGCAATGTAATTTTCCCACTGCTTAACTGACGAGTGATAACACCGCTTATACCAGGATCACTAGGGAAAGGGTGCTTTTAAATAACTTACAAGTTCAGTGTGCTATTTCACTTCTTTTACTTTCTAATTAGCGACAATTGAGCATCAACTGATATTATCAGCAACAACAAAACAGAACTATAACAAACTTTAAATGTTTTTATAAGCCTACCTTCTCTTACAGCCAACGCTGATTACTCTCTCTTGCCAAAGATGAGAGCTTCTTTCTCTGCCACTCTCTAGCTATTCTTAACATGGTGGTTTTACATAGGACGTGGTGGTCAATTTTTTTTCAATGGAATGAATATGGCAAGTGGTAAAATGCAATTGGTTTTTCACTGATTGACGAGGCGTAGCCACTCAATGACTACTAGTTTATAAGACAATGACTACTAGTTTACTAGTAGTCATCTGTAAGTGCTAGTTTACTTGCACTCAGGGCTTAAGTTGTGCCGGAACACACTGGATCCAGCACCTCATTAGTAGTGCTTTTTTCTTTAATAGAACAAAATGGTTTTTAATACTATACAAAACCCTAAAATGACAGTGATGTTGGTGACATTGTAGACAAGTGTTCAAATCAACTTTACACCAGTAAAACCATCAACATAACTACAATGTATCTGGAACGTATTCACAGTGCTTTACTTTTTCCACATTTTTTATGTAACAGCCTTATTCTAAAATAGATTAAATTAATTTATTTCCTCAAAATTCTACACATAATACCCCATGATGACAATGTGAATTTTTTTTTTTAATTGTTGTAAATTGATAAAAAAAAAATAAAAACCTGAAAATCACATGTATAGAAGCATTCACAGCCTTTGCTCAATACTTTGTTGATGCACCTTTGGCAGCATTTATAGCCTCAATTCTTTTTGAATATGATGCCACAAGCTTGGCACACCTGTCTTTGGGAATTTGAAAAATTGCAGTACCTCTTAAGCTCTATTGGGTTGAATGTAAAACGATAGTGTACAACCATCTCCAGAGACATTCAACAGGATTTAGGTCTGGGCTGTGCCTGGAGCACTTAAGGACATTCACTGAGTTGTTGTGAAGCCACTCTAGCAATATTTTGGCGGTGTGCTTTGGGTCCTTGTCCTGCTGGAAGATGAACTGTTGCCCCAGTCTGAGGTCAAGAGCACTCTGAAGCATGTTTTCATTCAGGATGTCTCTGAACATTGCTGCATTCATCTTTCCCTCTATCCTGACTAGTCTTCCAGTTCCTGCTGCTAAAAAACAACCCACAGCATGATGCTGCCACCACCATCCTTCACTGTAGGGATGGTATTAGCCTGGTGATGAGCGGTGCCTGGTTTTCCCCAAACGTATTGCCAGTCATTCACTCGAAAGAGCTCAATTTTAGTCTCATCAGACCAGAGAATTTTGTTTCTTATGGTCTGAGAGTCCTTCAGATTCCTTTTCGGAAATTCCAGGTGGGGAGTGGCTTCCGTCTGGCACTACAGTCCTGATTGGTGGATTGCTGCACAGATGGATGTCCTTCTGTAAGGTTCTCCTCTCTCCAAAGAAAAACACTGGAGCTCAGACAGAGTGACCATCAAGTTAATGATCACCTTCTTGACCAAGGCCCTTCTCCCCTGATCACGCAGCTTAGATGGCTGGTCAGCTATAGGAAGAGTCCTGGTGGTTCCAAACATCTTCTACTTGGAGGCCACCATGATGGAGGCCACTGTGCTCATTGGAACTTTCAGAGCAGCAGAAATATTTCTGTAACCTTCCCCAGCCTTGTGCCTCAAGACTATCCTGTCTCAGAATTCCACAGACAATTCCTTTGTCTTCATGCTTAGTTTATGATTGACATGCACTGTCAGCCCTGGGACCTTATATAGACAGGTGTATACGTTTTCAAATCATGTCCAATCAACTGAATTTACCACAGGTGAACTCCAATTAAGCTGCTAAAACATCACAAGAATGATCAGTGGAAACAGAATGTACCTGAGCTCAATTAGAGTGTTTTGGCAAATGTAAATACTTATGTACATGGGATTTTTCAGGTTTTTTATTTTTCAAAAATTTGCAACAATTTAAATTTTTTAATTTTAAATTGTCATCATGGGGTTTTGCGCATAGAATTTTGAGAAAATAAATAAAAAGTAATTCATTTTGTAATAAGGCTATAAAATTTAAAAATAAGTAAAAAGAAAAGCGCTATGAATACTTTCCGGATGCACCGTATTTCACCAAGTCTAAAAGGCAGATTAGATACTTGCAGTAACAAGCAGCTGAAAAGGTGTATATTGTTTTAAACAAACAAACAAACAAATGAGAAACAATGAGAGTGCTAAACTCACCATAAGGTGCAGGAAACTCCCCTGGACTGGCTGCAGCATAGAAGGTACTGGGTCCAGTCGGCTGGACAGGGTACTGTTGAGGAGGTCCCACATACTGTGGAGCACTGTGACGATACTAAAAAAAAACAAAAAAAAAAAACACAAAATTAACATACGTTAATATATTCAGTATTTCCTACAATATTTTTTTCTTTTACATTTAGTCTTAGGCGTTTTATTCCAGCTAGAATAAAACAGCTTATAATCTTTTAAAGTCCATTAAGGACCATTTTAAGGTCAATATTATTAGAACCCCTAAGCAAGATGTTTTTTTTTTCTACAGTACAAACCATCATTATACAATGATTTGCCTATTACCCTAACTTCTAATTAACCTAGTTAAGCCTTTATGGCACTTTAAGGTGAATACTGGAATCTTGTAAAATATTATGTACTGTCATCATGGCAAAAATAAAAGGAATCAGTTATTAAAACTATTACGTTAAGAAACGCGTTTAAAAAAATTTTCTTTCTATTAAATAGAGATTTGGGAAAAATACACAGGGGGGCTATATATATATATATATTAAATTACCCAGACAATCTGAAGTCAAGTGTTTACACAAACAACAGAAACGAACACAGTCTAGCACATTAAAATAACCTGGTGTAAACACACAGTCTAGATATAGTACATGTAATGTGATTCCTGTCTACAATCTTGTAATGTCTGACCTGAGGGATGTAGTACTGCGCTGTCTGTGGGGAATGAAAGGGCATGTGAGCCATGGTCATCATGATGTGCTGATTGGGAGAATATACTGCTGCCGTGGGGGTCTGAGACGTGGGCCGAATGGGTGGGGTGTTGCTTGGAATGGTGGGCCGGGCCGTTTGCATCTGCGTCCTCTGGAAAAACTGTGATGTGAGAGAGAGGAGAGATCAGTTATGTGGCTCACCATAGGAAAGAATGGCATACTTACAAGTCTAATATTTCAGTAAACTAGGAATGCACCGGAAGTCGTCTACTGAACAGTAAACAACATTTTTTTTTCTTTCTTCTATGTTTTTCTATATTTACTATGTAAACACATGCAAGAAACAAAGACAAGACACATAATCCTAAGTAACATGCAATTAAGGGTCGTTTTACCCCTCCTACTAAGACGAACTTTAATCAGAAGTGTGATCCCAAGTGGATAACATTCAGTATAGGTGTAAATAGGGCAAAACATGTTAATAACAGGTGGAACCATGGTCTAACAAAGCAGAGGTACTGATAAAGACTTAAGTTCAGTACAGTTCAACTTTGATCACAAAGGGCAAACTAAAACAGCCTATTATAATAAGGAAATTATTTACAATGAAGGTTCTATTTATAAATCTCACTAAAAGACCTCTTGGCATACACATCTCAAACTTATCACTGTGTGCCAATGTCAAACAAAAAGTGAACGATTATTTTACACTCAAACAAACGGATGATTGGTTATCCACTGAATTAGTGCATTGGTTTAAACGGTATGCGAGTCATAAAGTCCTGCGTTAAGTACACTACAGTTAAATAATTATTGTATAAGACTAAAATGCTTTATTCTGCCATCTGGATGTACAATATTTAATTTTAACAAAGCTCATAGAAAGAAATACATGTTCTTAAACAGCTGGATGCACCCTACACTAACCTATTTGTTATTATTGTAATTCGGTTGCAAGATAAACAGTCAAAAAGTATTAATCATATGTGAATGTATTCACCAATGGCCATTTATGGCTCGTTTCCACTGACTAGTACAATACGGTAAGGGTCAGTTTGGGTCACCTTTATCAGGCTTCCTCTACCAAGGGTACCCTTTCATTGGGCGTGGTTTATGACAAAGTTAAAGTCGATGTCATGCTCGCTCGAATAAATGTCTACAGTAAAGCTGTACGGGTCGCTTACATATAATATGAAAAGCACTTCTCACAAAACAGATGCTTTATACACAAATACTTGTTTATAAATGTTTATTACTAACTTTTCTATGAACAGGATTTGATTATAACTGCAGATCAATGACAGTGAGAAATAGCCTACTGTAACGTATGCAATTATATTAAATAAATATATAAATGCAACATATATGAACACATACAGACCCTTACAGTCTACGATATATTTTTAATTACAGAAAAACTACACGCATCATACATTTAGTACTTTTTTGAGTTCAAAACCACACAATATAGCCCACAGTGAGCGCAAACCTCTCATCTATGTCTGTAATCTTCACCAGTACATGTAAGCTCTGTTTGAGAGTAATTTTGTTACTCCCTGTTCATAATAATCCAAAACGCGAAGATAAACATGGCAGTTTGTTCATGATTTAGGTTGCTAAAACAATTTTGATACGGAGGTGTCGGGCTTTTCTTTTTTTTGTGCTTCACTCTCGCGCTTGTCCTTCTCTTTCTGAATGGATGAGATGACAGAGACACTTCATTAATCATGCAGACGTTATTATCATCAGCTCAAGAAGTTCGTTTTATCAAATATAGACGCGATCGTGAGCTCCCGGAAGAAAGCAAATACCGCTTGCACTTTTAGACGGTCTCATAAAGCAACAACAGGACACGGCAGATTTTTCTTCTTGGCTTTGTTTCTGTTCATCAAGACGACGACAAGGTTGGTTTGAGCTTGGATCATCCATGGCTCGTTATTATATGCATATAGTATATCCATGTAATCTCTCGGCTGTGTATTAGAACATGGCGGATCCTTTGTTTACATTCTTTCTAGCTCCACGAGCTCATGATGTATCTCTGTAACCAATCAGCGTTCGGCTGCGCGTGTAACTTCACCTTTTGGTACCCTTTCTCGTTTTTGGTACCAAAAAAGTGGTACGGTATGGTATGGTTTGGTTCGGTACGCTTATTGACAGTGGAGACGGCCATAAAAGAGTACCAAACCGAAATGTACCGTACCGTAGCACTCAGTGGAAACGGGCCATTACGGTCAAGATGACTCTTAGTTCTCAAATGAGCCTGTGGTATTAGTTTAATTGGTTGTTATTTTGAGAAAAACATACCTTGGAATGTCATAATTGACGAATCAGCTTTAAGTATTCCAGTAACCCTTTATTTCACAATGGCAACACTGTTACATCTTAGGAGAGACAATCACATGAGTGTGTTTGAATACAGTAATGGCTAGAAAATGTCAAAAATGACACATGTCCAGAATTTTCATCCAAATGAGACAAAAGCTGATCATCTAATTTCTGAGTCTCTAGCGCAGAAAGGCAAAAGATGTGTACACACCTTTACAACAAAGCTAAGGTCTGGTGAGCTAACCATATCTTCAAAGTACTTTCGCTTACATGTTCCACATTGTCACAGGGTTTTCGCACCTACTTCAGGGCCCCATCTGCATGTTCCAGATATTAGCAGACTTTGGTGCTCTAGGATATCAAGATTTTGTAGATAATGAAATTTAAAATTTCTGAAATTTATGGTTGGGTATCAGAAAAAATATATAATTCCTCTTTTGTTTTGGCTAACAAACTACTGATGACACTTCTTCTAAATATGAAATAAACTGTTGTAATCAAAAGCATGACAATTAGGCATGCTCATTCGGTTAATTTTGCTAACAGACAACCGCCGCTCATTAATCGGATATTAACGATTAACTGGTCAGATTAATATCAAATTATTATTCAATTAAAATTTCCTCACAATAGAGCAAAGAAAAAAGTAAAATAAATAGTTCTTTATGGTTTTCCAAAGAGTCAATCAGTATTGAGATACAGAAATGTGATAATGTAATGTAAAATAACACGGTGTAGTAGTCATTGTATTCATTGTATTAATAAATCTGTTAAATTTCTCTTCAATAAAGTTACAAATATTTTATGTTATTGTGCCCGAATGCTTTACACTTTCTTGAAATGCCTTTAAAAAGACATGCAAATGATAAAGTTTCACTCTCTTTTGGTTATATGTTGCAATGACTCACCTATTCTTAATTGCTAATCAACTATAATCCCAATTTAACATGGCATATCCATGCAATGTGGCTATTGTGCACACAAACATTGAGAAATCGATGCTGAAACTATATATTTATTGTGCAGCCCTGGTAACAATACTATGTCTTTTTGTTTTTTGGCCAAACATCACATGAAACCTTTAGAGAAAAGGTTTAATGCACCAAGACAAGCTCAGTGAGATATTTATATCCAAGATGGCAGATGAGCCAAGAAAAAAAGTCAAAATTCTTATAATACACAAGAGAAGTTTTAGACATTGCATTTTCATTTTACATTTACAGTGGTTTTATACATACAACCCCAAATCAGAAGAAGTTGGAACAGTATGGAAGATGCAAATAAAAAAGTAATGATTTCTAAATTTACTTTGACTTGCATTTCATTGCAGACAATACAACACACATTATCAAAATATATGATTTTTATTGTTTTGGTTCTTGCAACATTTCAAAAAAGTTAATGTACCTATTTAGAAACCACTACTTTCTTTTTTTTTGCGCTTTCCATAGTCACAACTTTTTCTGATTTGGGGCTATCTATAGACTAGGGCTGCACGATTCTGGCTAAAATAAGAGTTGCGATTTTTGTTGCCTTAAATCAAGATTTCGATTTTTTCAATTCTGTGGATAAAAGGTTAATATGAGTGGGCTGTTATTATTTTTATTTTTCAAACATATGGTAAAACAACAATAATAATTGTAATGGTTAGCTCTACTGTTGGTTAAAATGCTAAACGACTCAGGACATTGTTCATATTTCTGCCGCGCCACAGAGCGCCATTTGAATAGTTTCATTTTAAATAACATGCGAATGTGCCAGTCTAGTGCGCACCCTCCAACTGTTTTATGCACGCCGTATACGGTGAGCGACCTCCTTTAGACTAACAGACATTTTGTTGGGTTGGTGTTACCTGTAAAATGTTAGATATTGTTGCTCGGGGGGAAAAAAGTTTAATTAAACAGGAGACATATTAATGAATGAAAAAATATTGTAAAGCTGTATTATACTTTTATTGTTTTGATGTTGGGAAATCAAAAACTAGGATACTGAAATAAAAAAAAATTATCTATGTGAAAATGGTAATTAAATCTAAAAAGATGGGGGAAAAATATTTTAAAAGTTAAAAATAACCGACTGGTGAAGTTGAAAATAATAATTTATCTCTTTAAAAAAAAAAAAAAAACCTGACCCACAATTGTGCATGCTTTCAAACTAATTTTGAAAAAACGAAACTGATTAAACAGTACAGGGAATTGTGGTCTATCCATTTTATTTTCCTGACTTCTCAGTGCAGCATTCCATTATAAAGTTAACATTACAAGCCTAGAGATTATTTTAACATCACTCAGCTAAGCAGCTTATTTCAAAGCATAAATTGTCAGGACAAAGTGGGGCAGATCTATTCAGACAGGCTGACCTCTCCATCACGTACAGAGATAACGATGCTTTTAATGATAAGACTGAAAGCGGTTTAATCAAATCCTACTGTCTTGTTTTAGACAACAACAATCAATTTATGAAGTGATACTCTCAAAACAACACTGAAAGCTTAAAACAGTTTTAGCTCTCAAATACCTATTTAAACACTCCACAAAGTGTCAACTTCAGGAGCTACAGAGGCACAAGTCAAAAGTAAAACTATTGCAACTATTTTTACATATTAAAAATAGTAAATTTTCACATATGCTGAGATTTATGTAGATATCCTTGGCCAAGTTAAAGGAAATTAAATGCCATTTCTTTAACTACTTTGACACTGATGATCTAAAATAGAAAAACATTAATAGAAAAAACTAAATAGAAAAACATTACAATCCTTTTGCGTTCTTAGAATATTTTGTTTGCTAGCATTAATTTAGTGATGGAAAAAGTGGGAGGGAAACCTATAATTCAGTAATTTGAGCATTAAGTTTTGTAAGGAAATAATCTTTTTGCAAGAGAATACAATGTGAATTTTTTTAAACATTCAAGTGTTTGTGGGCAATTTTTCTCAAGGGATCATTACAGTTTAAAATAACAAAAATGTTTCATGAGACAACATAATTATTTTGCCAAGTTTCTCAGTGGAATTCAATAATTTTGCTAGAGAACACGCTCTGCAAGTAAATGCTAAGTTTCATTGGGGAAGCTGTTTTATAAAAAATGATGTTGGGAGAAAGCAATAGATTTGTGAGAAAATACAAAAGAATATTTCCTGCAATTTCATATTTTTCCCCATAGATCATCTGTATGATTCTGTCTCTTTTATTCAATATTAAGTGGTGTCAAATTATTTATTTTTTAGTTGTTTACTACTGACGGAAATATACAATTATTTTTTGAAATGCATAAAAATGATGAATTCTGGAAAACACTGTCTCAATGGATAGTTTCGCACTGCGAGGCTTAAATCAGATTTATTTTCTCAAACTCATTTTTTTTTTAAATGTCAGAATTCCAATGTGAACTGACCCGGATACGAAAAAAAAGAGCACCTACACACAATGTAAACTTTCTAATTATGTACACAATTTGAATACTGTATGGATGTAGAGAAATCAAAATAAATAAATTTGCCCTTTTTACAGAAAACATCCTTGTATTTTATGAACTACAAATGGTTGTTTTCTTAGTACTAACGCATATATCAAAGTGTGAAATGTAAATAAGTGTTGAAATGACAACAGTCAGCACTCAAGGGAATGCAGATTTGAATTTAGAAGCTGATTGCGTGACACTGAACATTTTAATCACACCACTGTGTCCATTTGCTCCAAAGAACAGTCAAGACCGATCAGGGTTAATGAGCAGTCGTTGAGGAGCAAAATAAGACGCTTTTAAAAGTCACATAAATTCCGACATAACCTTTCACACTGCAGTCGCCATGCAAAACATCAGATAAGTAATGCATTTAAAGATGCAGTATGTAAGTTCGACACTCAATGGTTGAGCTAGATCAGAGGTAGGGAACCTATGGCTCGGGAGCCACATGTGGCTCTCCAGCTGTCTCTCTTTAATAATATTTTAAGGTTTAAAAAACTATAACCTTCACTAGAAAACAGTTTCCTCTCCAATTACAATTCACTTTATATTGTATTTTCTATTGCAAAATGAATAAGAACTCAGTTTACAATAAAAGGACTTTTTATCCAATGCGCATATGTGATGCTGTGGTTTAACTTGAATCTTGACACCAATGAAGGGCAAGCAACTTACATTTCTATAGTAACTTCACGCAGGTACATTCAAACAATATAAATGAGTGGTGATGGCAAAAAGGAAAAAAAAATTATGAAAGTATTTTGTCTAAACTGGACGTTTTGTTTTAGAAACAGCTTCTATTTTTTGCAGCTGAACAACAGAAAACTTAATGACATGATCAACTCAGACACACCTCATGTACTTTATTCAGTGTTAAATGCTAACATTGCGAGTGTGAATGCCATTTAGACATTTCTGACCATACTACTGAAAGCAGCAGCAGATAACAGAGCTGTGAACCTACACTGGTCTCACGGTTCGGTGCGGTTACGCTTATCATGCCATCGATTCGGTTCAATTCGATATCACGGTGCATTGACGGTGCTTTCCATTCACAGTTTTACATTTTCTTCACAGCAGAATTCTTGTATTAAAATGTATGAATATATTTATATTTATATACTATTTGTAATGCAATTTTGTCATTTAATACAAACAGTCAGATATATAAACTGTACCTTTAAACAACACAAGCATTTATAGCAATTATTATAAACAAATAAAAATGTCCCGCTCGCTTTCTGAACCTTGTCTAGCAAGTTCTCTTACAACCCTTTGATTGGTCAAACCCTAAACAAAACGACTGCAATTGGCTCTTGCGCGCTGCGCTCTTCACAGATGAGTGACAATGATAAGCGGCCGGCAGCAGCGGCGATCACAGCTGATCTATTATAGGCACGGTGGAGAAAACTCTGCAGGTACGCGCTTATGTCTGTATCCAGAAGTATCGCTGTAAAACAGCCGAGAGGAGAGGAAAAAAAGTTACGCTAGCAGGTCAAATGTGCCCATAGTGAGTGAGAGAGAGAGAGAGAGAGAGAGAGAGAGAGAAATTGAGTACTTTCATTCTCTCAATTGCAGTGAAATAGAGGCTTCTGCTGTAAGTGTCCTTGAAAGACTGATCCAGCAAACACACACGCAGTGAAATTGTGCACAATTTCTGTGTTTTTAAGTAGTTGGAGCGTTGTAAATACTCTCGCTCGCCTTCCTCACTATAGTTAACTACGGTGACATATGAGATAAATGACGTCAGTACACAATAACCGGTTATGATTATTACTGAACCAATTGTCTGCTGAGCACAGAAGTGTCCACGTCTGCATCGCGGTGCACCGAAGAAACAATTTTGACACCTCTAGCAGATAATTTACCTCAGATCTTGAAAATAAAATAAACCGTTTGAACTTGAACTTTGGAACTGTGAAATAATGTAAAGCAACACATATCAGTGATTCAGCATGTACATCTAATAAAGTTAAAGAGGTTTTATGAGTTAATTATATTTTAACGCTACCATTTTGTGAATGAGTGCATATTCTGTGACTAGTGTATACAGCCAAATTGCTTATCACTGCAAATCTCGTTGTGTAGCGTATTGTTAGGACATGAGGTTACAATGTAACCTGCTCACCTAATGTTTACATTCGTAATATTTGCATTATTTGCTAATTAATAACCTCATGTGGAACTCCAACTGGAATATGCATCTCATTACAAAGGCTTCTACCGGACGTCACATTTTAGTCACGAACACCTGCTATGAGAGCCTATCTGACTGAATGAATGAAATATGCAGTTTTCCAACAAGGCAACCCAGGGTGCTGAAACATAATTTGCTAAAGTGACGTTGGGCGGGTTAAAAGAACTTAAACAAAGACAGCCGTTTCGGCTCGTAGCGCACATTTTCAAAGCAGAATAACTGACTTCAGCATTGTTTTTCAGATAAACAAGAATGTTCACTTGGCATGTTTCTTACATATCTGCAAACATATTATGGTGTTCTTATGCTTTAGAAGAGTCAAAAACATGCATACAGCACCTTTAATGACATGTCACTGTCAGGATTGAAATTGGAATTAAGTCACATAAGGCCAAAAAAATTAATCGGATTTGGGCCAAATTTGCCTGCAGTGTGAATGAAGCCAATGCCTGCATTTTACCAGAAAATTTGTTTCAAAAGCATTACATCATCCTAGAGCAGTGAACCCACCCATTGACAACCAGTTCCAACAGGAATAAAGAAATGATCAACATGCAAACCTAACAAAACAAAACAAAACAAAACAATGCAGCAAGCACTTTTAAAAAGTCAATTAAAGCAACATCAAGAAATGAAGGATTTGGCTGTCTTTGTAGTGGTAAGCTGCAGTGCAGTTGACTGGGCAGGGAAAGAGGAAGGTGACGTTGAGAGAGAAACAGAGGATTTCATGCCATGCATTTTCCTCAAGACTGCAAATTACCTGAATGGATCTGAATCCTCCCTTGAATATTGAAGCAGGAAAGAGAGAGAAGCTAATGGGATAATGCACTAATTGGTATGGAGGGATAGAGAGAGACTAACACACACACACACACACACACAGTTAAGGATAGATGTGCAGTACAAAGCATGCAAAGAGCCTTTCCTTCAGGGAAAGCCATTTACAAAACAAGAGGGCACTATGCTCTACTTTTTAGGTAGCCAAGTGACATCATCTTTACGTTAAAGACAAGAAAAAGGACCTGAACCTGCCAAACCTCACAAACATTCACGATGAGCTAATAAAACAAGATGGAAGATAAATACAGGCTCAGACAAAAACAAGTTCTTGTGACAATATTTAAAGAGACAGAGGTTGGAGGCTCATTGTAGGTGGGATGAATCGCAGAATAATAATTTAGAGAAGGAAACACACAGATGAAGACTCTGTGTTTAAAAACATTTATGCAAGAAATTGAGAAATATACACATCATATAAAGCTGCTCTGTTTTATACAATGGTAATGTTCAAAGCTAATTTTTTAAAAGGGTTTTACTTTTAATTTCCTCACACAAAGTTATCAAAAGAATTGGATTACAGTGTAAATTATGTATTAATTGATGCCTTAATATTGTATAATTAAATTATACCAATTCATCTTATTATTAGTAAAATGGTTGTTTTTGTAGCTTGAGAGCAGCATGAAGATACTCTAAATTACACTTTTGAGTTCTTATATGTACACAAATGTACACAAAAGTAGAACTATAAGTGAAATTTCTGTCATGAAACTATGTGTGCGCAGGCTGAAAGGTCACCTAATTTGCTCCTGCATCATTAACTAAATGGCTCAGGACATTGGTTGCTATCACCTCTAAAGCCAATGAGCTTGCTCCTCATCAGTTCAAATGCTCAGCGTCATTCTACGTATTTTCGGAGACCCTCCTCCACCCCAGCTCCACCTGTGTTTAGATCTACTACGGGTTACATATATTGTTTGTAGCAGCAGAATGTTATATTCTTAGACAGCATTTCTTTGTAAATAGTGGCAGTAGCAGGTATCGGTACTTGCTCTGCCATAATACTCAAAGCAGCAGCAGCATTGCATATCTGTACCGCCAAAAGCAAATACATCAACATTGCCATATACATATTCATTGCATGCTAAACCCTGAAAGTGTTCATGACAGAAATATAAATGAGAAACTTTGACACAATAAAATCTTTTCTTTTTTCCAAAAAAATAGTTTTAGTCTTCACAACTTATAAAATATAAAATGCCATATAAAATATATATTATCCCTGATTTCTTTATTTTTTTATTATTACTTTCCATTCTGTACTGGTAAGAATAATTACTACTTTCAGTTTTAAAAATCAGGGAAAAATTAATTAATGATAATTAGTTAGTGAAGTTACAGAGTGGAGATATACAAAGAATTAGCATTGCACATGCTTGCACTGTTAACAAAATTACTATCGCTAATTTTCATTGGCACACTATTTATTCATACAACTAGTCTTTTTGCAGTTTAATATAAACAAAGTTTTTAACGTGCTTTGAATGTGTTTGCAGTCTTTTTCACTTATTAATTTAAGTGTGTGAATTTAATTTAATTCATTTTTTAATGATTGGATTCTGCAATTCAATCATTTTACAATGTAAAAGATACCTTGATTAAAGGTCCTGTAATGTGCTTTAAAATTAGCATTTTTATTCAATGTTTGCCGTAATCTCAGCCGAAACATGAAGAGAGGGTGGGACATAGTGTAGCTCCTCCCCTTAAAAAACGTTGTTTTACGACAGCTCAGTAAATGTAAGTGGTTGAGCTCAAGTGCATCAAATGAAAAGCGAATGAGAAGCGTCTTGAAGCGGGTGAGGAAGGTCAGATACTATAAAGCATTTGACTGGTTATGAGGTGATGAGAAACTTCAGTGTGAGATGATGTGAATGAAACCATTGATCCTTTTGGGCGAAAGTGACGTACCACAAGTTTTACATCAGTTTTATATCTGCTAAATGTGAATTGTCATTGTTTTGGAGCACACTAGCGTATAGACATCTTAAAAACAAATAAAACTGATACTAACATCTAAAAAACTTTATTTTCATTTCATGGGGCCTTTAATGATGACTTATGGTATTGTTTTAATATTAATGTATACATTTTGAACTAAGTTTTTATTCATATTATTATTTTTATCATCATCAATATAGTTGTGTTTAGCAGCATGAACTTACTGTATATTACCCTGTAATTTAGACAATGTATACATAACTAAAACTATAGTTTAGAAAAAAAAACTTCAGAAATTCAGAACAAAACTTCTGAATTATTAATTCAAGATGTTTGTAATTGTTAATTTAAATTTCATTTTTAATGACTGGATTCTGCAATTCTTCTACTTTTCAATTTTGTTCTCTGCATCACAAAAGTCATGAAGCTTGAAATAATGTAGGCGTTTAAAAAATGTTGAGAGTTATATAGTTGTAACCTTTAGCCTAAATTCTCGCCCTTAATGTTACCTAGCCTTAAGATTCAGATACTGGAAATTTATTAACGTGGTGTTGATGATTTCAATAAGTTCCGGTCGGATGCTTCTAGTATTTCCCAGTTATACACAAACAAATCTGAACCAAGAGTGTTGCTGAACTGTGTGTTCCCAAATGTTTATTTTTGAATGTGTGTTTGTTTGTGTCTGGTGTGTGGAAACCACTCCAAAAGCCAGACAGGGTGATCCCTGAATGTAGTAGATCACAGTCAACGGACCACAACAGACAAGATCTACACTCTACAACTGGCTATAATTCTGAACTAAAAGGATTCCTTCCTGTGAGCTATGGCCTAACCTCACAGTAGAGATACACAATCTTTAAATCACCAAGCACACTACAAGACTTTGATGTTTTAGGGGAACAGTTCATCCGCATTTACTCATTCTCATGTCGTTACAAATCAGTACGACTTACTGTCTTCTATGACAGATCGCTGCATCTGTTTGGCTGTTTTTAGCAAAATCATTTGGCAGAATCGATGACAAATTGTAGGATTCAGCAAAAAGTCAGAGAGAATGATCATGACGGATCATTGTTTTTATGATTAATTATTGGTGTCACTTATGAGACAAGTAAGTGATTCACTAAAGGGGCAGTGCACAAAAAATATATACTTTTGTCATTTAAATCAGCTAAAATACAGTCTTGAAGAGAGCTGGAGTGCAAAAACACTGGAACACTAAAGAAGAAAACAAAAAACACTGCGCCAAAAAACTTTGTGTTACACTGAAGAAAGTCTTACAGGTTTTGAACAACATGAGGGAGAATAAATTATGATCGTTTTTGTTTTTAGGGTAAACTATCTTTTTAAGGGTGTGCAGGCTAAATGTAGTCTTGTGATGTTTGCAAATACACTCACAAGTTCCTGAACATTTTTATAAGGACCATGACAAGGCTACTGGCCAAATGTTGGCATTCACACACACTCATTCACAAGTCTGAAATACTGTTTTTAAATTAATTTGTGCATAACATTCTCCCATGTGTCAATTTAAATGAATCTATTTTTCGATTATTATTCCTCTCTTTTAACTGAGACAGGCTACAGGTGTGTGTTTTGTCTGATGTTAAAGCTGCCATCTGATATTCATTTGACAATTTAATTTCATGGTCAAAATAAAATGAAAGGTAAAAACTTACATAAAACGGCTCAAACTGTCATCTGTGGCCTTAAGCATTTGTGTAGCTTATGCATTTGCACTTGTATATCTGACGGGTCATAGCCGACAACACATGCCCTCTCGAGTTTATTTTTTTTAATAGTGGGAGTAAAATATACACGTGGTTTCAACAATCAGATGCATTTGGGTTAGTACCAGATTCATCTGGAATGCGTTTCAACATCTTGAAGTGGTCTGAGAGATGTGAATTATATCAGTCTCGAAAGCATTTTAGAGAGAATTTAGACCTGCCTTTTCCACAGTCGAATAGCTATCTGATCAAAAAAAAGCTTGAGGTGACCAGGTGTAAACAGCCATAATGAGATCAGATAGGAGGTCTGTTTTGTCAGCAATTACATATGAAGGTGTTAGGCTACTTTTTCCTCAAAGAGGAATTGTCAGGGGGACCTCTAGGCACTTAGTGAGGACCTAAACTATTTAAAGAATAATATTTTAAAAGTTCTTCAAATGTTATATGGTAAACGTTTAAAGTTCACAAATGAAAATTGTATAATTACTATCCATCCCTCAATACGTTTTTAACTGCTTATCCAGGACTGGCTGATATGGCAGCAGTCTCAGCAGGGAACCAGACTTCCCTCTCCCTAGACATATCCTTCAGCTCCACCAGGGGGATCCCAATGTGTTCCCAGATAAGCAGAGACATAGTCCTTACAGCTATCCATGGTCCTCCCTGAGGCCTTCTCTCGGTGGGACATGTTGGAACACCTCTCCAGGTAGGCATTTAGGAGGTATCCAAAAAACAAATATGAAGGAGCAGTGGCTTTAGTCTGAGCATCTACCAGGTAACAAAGCTTCTCACACAATCTCTTAGGGTGGAAAAGAGTCTCATAATTGGGCTCTTGTGTACAATATCTTGTCCTTTCGGTCATGAGCCTCGGGTCATAGGTAAGAGTAAAAACATAAACTGACTGAGTAGTAAATGGATTGCATCAATCCGTCTGTCAATCTCATGTTCAATCATCCCATCACACACGAACAAAACAGAAAGTTTGTAGTTTCAAAAATGTTCATTTTAAAATGGCATATATTCTGTTCACAAAAGTTTAGGTCCTCTTTTTGAGTCTACATGGTCATGGCCACTAAAGGTCCCACCCTGCTTTACTGTGGTAGCCAGTAGCTATACCTGTTGTAATCATGATATTCATACACAGAAAGTAATGTATATACATCCTAACTCAGAATCTAGTTACCTTTAAAGTAAGCCAAGTTCAAAATACTGTCAAATGTGCATTGTAACAGACATAGCATGTTTTATACTAAATCAGATGCTTTTGGCACAGCTCTCATAGTTTAGTCTAGAGTCTGAGCTATCATTGTAATCTTAAAACAGGATTAAATTGAATTATTTAAATAGCAAAGCATTTGTAAGTAATATAGCTGAAATAGGAAAAATGCTAATAATTGTGTTTTGTTTTGCTTGTGGCCTTAAATTGTGATAAAGTTGGTGAGCTCGCCCTGTTTAAAAAGTTAGTCTGGATCCCAGGGGTCTGTTTTTCGTACATGGATTACTCAATTAGCTGGATTTGGTTCGATCCAGGATCGTTTCATTTTTCAAAACTCATCCAAGAGTTGTTGTCATAGCAACAGATCTGGTAGCTCAAACCAGCTAGGGAGTAGGGCTGTGCTATTTGGGGAAAATATTTAACTGTGATTTTTTTTGACAGATATAGCGATTTCAATTTGATTTGTGTTTTAATTTTGTAGTCACACTTCAGCTCAATAATCTGTATTGTAGTTTCTTACTGATAAAATGCAACGAGTGTTAGTTAAAAAAAGAAGCTAAAAATATATTAACTTACTTAAACATTTAATTTTATTTTTAAATATTTAAAAATGAAACACTCAATTTTCTCCAAAGCAAACAGCAAATACAAATTAAATGACCTTACCTTTCTGTAAACAATTTAAACTTAATCTAGGGAGATAGAGTAGCTTTTTAAAAAATAATAGTTATAAAAATACAGAACACTCAGCAAACTAACATGGCTGAAACAACTCTGCCATTGTACTTTGCTGTTGCTTGCTACTAGAGTTAGTAGCAATACTTTCAGTTGACTTCAGCAAGACACTCCTCCCTCAATTGGCTAGTAAGACTATCACACACAGTCAGTCACGCATTTGCTCTGGGCATGGTGAAATTAAATACAAATATATTACATATCGCAGCCTCTTGCGATTAGATAATCGCAACGTTTCAAATCGCTATTACGATTCAATTTTGATTAACCGCACAGCCCTATTAGGTAGCAGTAGCTTTTTCATACAAACATGATTAGATTGGGTCTTTTGAAGCAAAGATGGTTCTGAAAGTATGCACCAAATGCTGAAATTTTTTTACAGTAGTAATAGATTATGTACATCGGGGAAAATAGTCAAATAGTTTTAAAAAATGTTACTTATAATAGCTTTAAAAAATTATGAATAAAACTTATGCAGGCAACGCTGTTACTTGGTAGGTAGTGCTGTTGCCTTACAGCAAGAAGGTTGCTGGTTCGAGCCTCAGCTGGATCAGTTGACGTTTCTGTGTGGAGTGTGCATGTTCTCCCCGCATTGGCGTGGGTTTCCTCAGGGTGCTCTGGTTTCCCCCATAAGTCCAAAGACATGCGGTATAGGTGAATTGGGTGGGCTAAATTGTCCATAATGTAAGTTTGTGAGTGAGTGTGTATGGATGTTTCCCAGAAATAGGTTGCAGCTGGAAGGGCATCCTCTGCGTAAAAACATATGCTGGATAAGTTGGCGGTTTATTCCGCTATGGCGACCCCAGATTAATAAAGGGATTAAGCCAAAAAGTAAATGAATGAATGAAATTTATGCAATCTACACTACAAAATAATTCATGCAATCACGCACATGTTTTGACAGCTAGTATGGCGATGATTTGCATCGCAAAAATTGCAGACACCTACACCTACACCTACTAAATAAAACAAACTGCCTTTTTGATGCACATTTATTAAGAAACTTGAATAGGCCTACTATAATAAAGAAAATCCGCTCTTAAAGTAAAACTAAATCAATTGCTACTCGACACATGAAACTGTAAATCATGTTTACAACAAAGAAGCCTACAACAAATGTGGAAAGTTATTGCGTATTATGCTTTAACAGTTTTTATTATGAATTGATGTAATTGAATATTAATCAGATGATGTCATTACGCTGCTAGATCATTCCTTCACAACATACGCAGCGATCTCAGATCAGTCCATCCAGACATTTTAATCTGATTCGCGAACTTGTTTGAAGAACCAAATTAGCAAGAGATCAGTTATTAAGATCAAATGATCCAGGATCTGCCAAATCATTTAAGCAAAGTACGAAGAAAGGACCCTAGGTAAGTGTTCTAAATATATTATCATTATAAAATAGTTTATAATAGTTTATATAATGGTTTATAAAAGTTTTCTTGCAGCTTGCCATGTAGCCTATTTTTCATATCACAACACAAAATAATTATGTTCATTTCACTTCATTTCAAAGGGGGATTTGCAACATTTGGAACCACTGCCATGGCATACTTTACTGGGGCCTCACTCTCATGGGGCCCATGAAAGCCTTTCCAGTACATTACTCCTAAATATATTGGAGCTGTAAACAATCCAAACCATCACAACGAACAGAATCAATGTGTTGCATTAGTCTAAAAAAAAACATACTAAAGCTTATGAGGTGTGAGAGAGGAAGCCATGCATTTGCGTACATTACCTGGTGATGGGTAGGACGAGGCCCAGGGGCAAACTGATTGAAGGCAAAGAGTGGCATGGCAGAAGGAGAGAATCAGAGAGAAAGAAAGTAGTAAGAATGATCACCACCAAACACATAAACCACAAGCTGTACATGGCATATGCAGCGCACCTCCTGAGAGGAAGTAATGACGCAAGGCATGTTATATGAACCATATAGACACAGCAGCACCAACTGATCACCACAAACCACACCGTAAACAACAGCATAGCACATGGCAGAAAGGATGCATTTCTATAAAGATCGGACGCTGTAGAATTATGAATCATATGCACTTACCGGGCGGCTCTGAGGCTGTGCGTTCATTGGCTGGGTTGTTGGAGAGTATACCAGAGGGGTCGTGCCGGCATTCTGTCCCGTTGTGTACGGAGACTGTAGAGTCACAGGGTCCCAGAGAGGTCGAGGAGGAGCGACCACCGGCGGAGAAGAAGACACAGTTGTTAGGATGGATGCGAGTTTTACGGTCTCTGATAAAAATCCCTACAACTGAGTGAGTGTGCTGCGTGAGTGTGGGTGACAGAGTGAGTGTGTCCACTCCCTGCCGCTGCAAACACTGCGGTCTGCTGACACTGACAAATCTGCCATCTCCTCAACGCTGCCTTCAAGCCAGAGAAAGAGAGAGAGAAATAGAGGCGTAGTCTTGAGCAGACGTGAGTGGGCACAATCGTAGCATTTGTGTGCCATTGAGTTCAGGCAATTTTGAACTGTACAGGATGGCGGAGCAGAGCAGAATTTTGGGAACCTTCTTTTGTTAAAGCAGCTTAAGGTTTTATTTGTCATAAATTTATTTTGCTGACAGTTTATCTTGTTAAAGAGTAGATTCATAATGGCTTGTGTGTTGTGGACCAAGTGCTCTTGCATCTAAAATGTTAATGTTTTGCTGAAGGGACTGAAAGATTGGTCAGTCTTGTATTGTTTTGTGGACTTCGAAGGTTTCGAATATTGTCTCCTAGTTTTTTTGGGGTTTTTTTTTTTATACAAATCAAAACCATTCAAAAAATTAAATGCATCATAATATACACATCAAATCGCCTAATTTCTAAAAGTGACACAGAAAAGCTCATTAAAGACAGACTGGTTTCTGATTTCTAAACTGCTCCTAAATTCCAAACAGGCCTTCTCTGCTCTGATTGGTCAGATTGGCCAGTCTATTGATCAACTTCTTACAGTGATTGCATGAAACAAAATCTGAATTTCAGTTCTGGAGGCTTCCTCAAACCAAAGGGGTAAAGAATGGTGTCAGTTTAAACATATTAATTCAAGCCAAAGCCAGAGAGAGAGAGAGGGGGAGAGATTTTTATTTATTTATTGCCATATCAGCTTCTCTGGCTATTTCATGGCAAAACAAGATCAAATTGTATAAATCTCATTTTTCTATAATAATAAAAAATATATCAATAAAAATACATCAACAGCTTTAAACAGGGTTTCTGTGGGATTCTTTTAGTTAAATTTAAGACTTTTAAAGACCCTTTTAAGACTATTAAGGTTGATTTTTTTTCTAAGATTAAAGGATTTTTCTAATGGCCTAGTTTCTTCTGTGTGTAGTTTTTCATTAATAAAAGATCTTGTTATGGGATGCATTGCTTTGGTTTTCTTTCCCTGATAAGGGAATTTAATTGGGAGAATTTGCTGTAAAACAGCCGTTTCAAATTGTATCTCATTGCAATAAAAGTACTTGAATATAAATATAAAGTTTTAAAATGGATTATTGGTAATTGAAAGTTGGCCTGATTGGGTAGCTTTAAATGCACATAGGAAAACTAAGACTAGTTTAAAATGATCTAAGACCTACAAGACAATATTTCAGAGAATTTAAGACTTCTTAAGGCCTACATTTTTAAAATTTAAGACTCCCGCGGACACCATGAATAAATAATACATAAGATATAATACATAAATAATAATAATAATAATAATATTAATAATATATAACATAAAAATCTAAAACAGTTGAAGGCTTTTTACATTTTTTATTTCACAATTTTGTAAAGGTTTCACATTTAAAAATATTTCATTTGAAGTCTCTGTAGATAAAAATCTTTGTCTGATAACATTAAAAATAGGGCATTCCAAAAGTGTACGTTTGCAAAGCCAGATGATCAACCTAAACATCCACAGCAAGCACAACTTAAGCAGACCATTTCTCAATGGCATGTTTCAAGTAAAAATCATACTTGATTCATCCGAATGCACTGGAAACTAATTTCCCCCTTTAATTTCTAAAAAGAGCCACCTCAGCAGCAGAGTCAATCATGCATGAATAACTGACCAAGTTTGCTTGCGTGCAGGCAAAACAATCTACATTTTTTCAATTATTCATAGCTTCTCATGAAAACGTTAATTATATTATTATCAATTAGAATCGTTTTTAAAACTAAGCTTCTGAAAGCATAGCCACTTCAAAATACCCCCCCCCCCCCCCCCAATAAGAACGCTTTCCTATATTCCCCCATTTGAGTACTGCATACTGTAACTCTAAAAATCTCTGCCACCCACTTATTCGATACCCACTAGTTACGGAACCTATTAAAAGTAGTGATCTATGAATCAGTTAGCCTCAAACAGACAGCAGCCTAAAGCTCTATTCACCAGACATCCACAAACCTCCCCGATTCTTCATCTGCATTCACATGTACATGTTATGATTAAGGAAAGGGTACATGGGTAATTAAGGTTTAGCCATTGGTGCACTCTTAACCTATTAATAGGCGGTCGTGCTGGCAGTGGAGTGGGAATGTGAGCATTGGTTTCAGACAGATAACAAGCCTGAGAACAGCTGAGTCACCCTGACAGACTTTCTATTCCTGAGGCAGAATCACCACGTGCATGTGTGTGTGTGTGTGTCTGTTTGCATGACAACGCACGAGTTTGGTGGACCTACAGAGACTGGTAATAGGTGTACCTATAATATAACACACAAACACATCCCTGTAGTTTAATTATAATTGAGAACATGAGGTATACCTACATAAGATGTCTCTATCAAATATTAACAATACAGTTCACTGTAAAGCACTTCACAGCAGGAAGTCTGCATGTCTACATGTCAAACATCTTATTAATTTGCCAGTTGTATTCAATGACTGTAGTAAGATGAACTTTGTTTGACAACTTGCACAGCAGGTTCCTTAAATATGATATACATTTACGGTTTTATCAGCTTCTTGGTGTAATCTTTGAGATCAAATCCGCATTAGCTCAAGAAAACGAGCTAGGTTTTACTTCATGTCAGTATTATTAGAGTATTAGAAGTGCTGTGATTTACCACAGAAATCAATGGTTTATATTGCATCATAGGAAATGTTTATCTGCATTGGGTTATCCGATATCCCTTCCTCCTGACCTCTAAAGATTTTCTATCTGTGTGTAATGCATCTGTGAGAAACAAGACAATCAATAAGTGATGCACTGATTAATGGTGACAAGAAATAGGGCTGGGCAATATAGCTATTTTTCCCAGCATTTTAAGCTTTTTGACATTATTTATAATACGTCACAATATTTATGTATTAGATTAGGGTTGACACCATACGTTTTGACAAAATTAGTTATTCATTTTTATTCTAAATTAATAATGATTAAATTGATGAAGTAAATAATTAAATCAGAATAATGAAAGAATGTTTTTCATACTAAATGAACAAAATTGAATTAGTTATATAATCACTTATATGTTGCTGATAGTATACATTGCTAATATAACAAAACACTGTAATAAGAATGAAATGAATCAGAGTTTAGAATCTTTCATTGATGTAGAAATTAAGAGTCCGAACTGAATCAGAAATCTAGCAAACTAGCTCAACCCTGACATTTATCAACTACAGGACAAAGGTGCAGCATTAAAACTACGACTGGAGGGTTAAAGTAAAAATGATGTATAATGATTTCTCAATTATTAATGATTTCTTTTACAATGTATTTATGAAATCATGGATTTGGAGAAACAGAAATGTTTCATTATTTTTTTATTTTATAGCAAGTACAGAGATCAGATGCGGCTGCAAATTGGCCTCAGAAGAATAAATGAGCCAAGCCTTTAACAAAGCGGGCTCACGTGACACGTGAAAAGGTAAAGTAATTGGGAAAAAAAATTGTCCAGGAAAATATACTTTTCGATTAATGGCCTAGCCCTAATAGGTAATAGCTAAGTGACGTTGAGAAAATTATTAGAGAATTTTAATTGTTCAGTTTAAAGTTTCTATACATTAAAACATGCAGACAATGGTTTATTAACTGCTGTTTACTCAATGTTGTATTTTTTGTTATGTTTCTTTTTTCATAGAAAAGAAGCAAGAAGCACATTTACATTTATCTAAACATCCTTCATAGCAGTCTAGACAGCTTGTGGTTGTTTATTTTAACGTATATCATTGCAAAGATCCTTTCAACTTTTTTTTTAAAATCTAAAGCAAAAAGCTAAATAAACTTCACTAAGATTACTAAAAAAATCATGTTTAATCTCTCTTACATTACTTGTGAAAATAAAATCGTTAATATCTTTCTTAAATTCTTCAATCTTTAAATTTATATATTTTTTTTATTTCTTAAATACTGAATATATTGCCCAACCCTAGCAGACATACAGGTAGACTGAGACAGATTTTCAGTTGCACTCACCCCTCCTCCTGGCTCCCAGCCTTTAGGATGACCATAGAGATGCGCAGTGGATACTGTTGAAACTGATACCTGAGATAGTCCAGGGGAAGAGGCATGACCCGGCGGGGTAGCCGCTAGGTTAGGGTGTCCCTTGTTGATTTCATGTGCAGTAAATGGGGGGCCAGGGGGTCTCTGTACCTGAGAAAACAGTTTCAGAAAACATTTTAAACACTGTAGAACCTTGCTCCTTTGCTGTTTTTATAGTTTTTATATTTTCTTCAGGAGAAAAGATTATTTGTTTTATTTCGGCTAGAATAAAAGCAGGTTTAAATATTTTGAAACCTATTTTAATAGCTCAATATTATTAGCCCCCTTAAGCAATATATATTTTTGACTGTCTGCAGAAGAAACAACTGTTATACAATGACTTGCCTAATTACACTAATTAAGACTTTTTGAACGTCACTTTAAGCTGAAAAGTAGTATCTGGAAAAATATCTAGTAAAATATAATGTACTGTCATCATATAGCACAGATAAAAAGAAATCAGTTATTAGAAATGAATTATTAAATCTGTTATGTTTAAAAATAGGTTGAAAATAAATATTTCAATAAACAGAAATATGGGGGAAAGGGTCGCTAATAATTTAGGAGGGCTAATAATTCTGACTTAAACTGTATATATGCACAGTTATTTTCCTCCTTGTGAATAAGGAAAGGGAATATAATAGAATAAAAATATGAAACAAACCGTGCTTTGAGCATCTTCACCGTAAGAAAGAAAACTACAAAAGTCCTTCATTCAAGAGCAGTGAGGGATTTTGTCCTTTTGTTGTTTTATTACTAATAAAAACAGACGGCAGTAGTAATATTTGCGCACTGTCACTTTAAGAATAGTGCGGTTCTGATATGGTTTCTCTTTCACATGTCTTCTGATTCTCAACTCGTTTGTTTATTACACAAATGAGGGTTAATATGAATAATCACTAAACACCGTGCTCTGACACAAATGTGCATGTATTTGACCATTAAAGCGCTTGCATTAAGATGGTGTTAGATGTGTGTGCACCGCTCGTTTCCGAGGCTAAGCGCGCACACACACAACAGCGTTTTTAAAAGATGAATGATTCGAAGGTTCATCAATGAATGATGCGCATCTCGTGCTGCAAACGTTACATTACAGTACATGCTTTTAGTTATTTTCATGTGGAACTGAGCTTTGCAGAGCAACAAATGTTTACAACTGGAAAGGGGTGGTATATGATGGAATAATCATTTATCTCGATTAATGGTTCTTCCTAATCGTTAAAGCCAAAATCGAAATCGGATTTTCGATCAATTGCACAGCCCTACTTTGTATTTAGATCTGCTATGTCGTTTATATCTGGATTTGTTTATCATGGTCTGCTGGATTCCAGTATTTAGACCAATTTCAGTTCCATTTGTAAAAGCTGCTGATGCACAATAAGAGGGTTTCTACAGGTTTTATCAAATCAAATTTAAGAGTTTTTAGCACTATTTTAAGACAATTAAGAATGGAATTTCAGACTTAAACAAGGCTAAACGAGAATTATTTTTATGGTCAATATAAAACCCTAAAAAAGCATTAAAACTAATTTTATTGTAAGGAAGATCAATGAACCATATTAATAAGCAAAAAGAGTTAATAAATACAAGTTTCTTAAAACTTTTATTTAAATATATTGTTATTGATTGGCTGGGTGTCGGCCCAATTACGTATAGCTTTTTATGAACATAGCAAAATTCAGAGCAGTTTAAAATGATATAAGAACTACAGAGAATTTAAGACTTTTTAAGGCCTAATATTTGTTTTTTGAAAATTTAAGACATAATGGCCTAGTTTCACAACAGGGTTTAGGCCAGGACTAGGCCTTAGTTAAATTAGGCTATTTAAGCCGCATTTATAAAAATGGCCTTAGAAAAATATATTACTCGTGTGCACCTGGAGACAAAAAATAATACTGATGTATTTTAAGACATCTCACCGCAAGTTATTTTGAGTTGAGACATCTCAAACATTCAATTTAATCTTGACTAGTCTTAGGGTGCTTTCACACCTGCCTTATTTAATTCGATTGAATCGCACTAGAGTTCGTTTTCCCTTTTGGTACGGTTCGTTTGGGCAGGTGAGAATGCAGCAATCGTACTCGAGTGCGCACCAAAAGCGGACCAAATAAGAGTACCGAGACCTGCTTAAAGAGGTGGTCTCAGTATGCTTCCAAACAAACCCTGGAGCGGTTCGTTTGTGGTGAGAATATGATCCGTACTAAAACATGTCCAACCGCAAAAAGTACTGCGCGTTTTGGACTAATTTAGCTGCTGTAGGCCGATGCGCTGTGCTTTATGGGATATGGAGGAAAAATATTTGTTGACAGCGGAGAGAGAGAGAGAGGGAAAAACATTACCTGATGGATCGTTGGTAATAATTACGCAAGATGACCATGTCGCAGTTTAGCTAAATTAATTCACGCCTCCTCCTGAAGTGACGAGCGATGCATTAAAACAGCCGCGCCCGCGATTCATTTTCGTAATGTATAGTTTGTCTAAAGCAGGGATACAATCAGCCAGCGCAGTCATCCCTCCAGGATAAAAGGTTTTGTTTACCTGCGGGAGTTCACTGGCATTTTCCCGCACATGAATTCTGACCAATCCATAAGCAGTTTAGGAAATATGTTTAACAACATCTGGCCAATGAGAGATGTGGATTTAGTCAGATGACTGCATTTTGGTTCGTTTCAACTGGTTCGGACCAAAGCCAGCAGTGTGGTGTGAAAACAACTTAAAGACGGCAGAAGATGCAACAATGTATCATTCAAGGGCGTGAGACTTTTTAAGACCCCGCAGATACCCTGAATGAATGCAAATGAGTGGGAACCTTCACTTGCATCTCTAAACGCTTCTCTGCATGTTACATTTTAAAAATAAATCTGACTAAAATAGTGAAATCAACAACACATGGCGTTTTCGGAGCTTTTCTGAATTAACACTAAGCTACAGTGGTAAACAGCTCCCACCGGTACACATAGTGGTCCTAATGCTGATGACTAAAATGAAGAGTTAACTAATACAATCTTACAGGACATCTGCAGGAGCGGAGGAGTGATCTGATCCCAAGATACAGTCCAAGAAATCAAACAATGAGCGAAAAATTATTTCATTTATAGCAACCAGTCACATTTAATATACAATGACTGCAAAACCAGCAGGCCTCAGATCATGTAAGGTCAATACGTCAGATGACAAGTTTGTATTTAGAATACAGATGCATCAATCGACAAGGCAAAAATCATTACTGGATGTTTTTGCTCCAAACCTGCGACGGTTGTTTGGTTTTAGTTTTGGCAAACTCGGTTACTTGCACACAAACCACACTGCAATGATGTTATCATATAAAGTGTGCACACTAAGAGTTCATCTTGGACAAATTAACTGAGGGGAAAAAACCCTAAACAGTCTCCAAAACAGGTTTCATCCACGTCTACTCTTGTTTGGTTTTACATCTTTCTATTATAAACAAACATGCTCTGCTTACATGTAGATAGCAATCAGTCAGCGCACAAAATTCTCCTGTGAATTCTCATTACAGCAGCAGAGCAGTGGTTACGGTCCCGTACACGGGCAGAGGAGAGAGTGCATTGTCATTGTCGGTTCTCCCTGGGCTTTCAAAGATGCTGCTGTAATTATAAATTGAAAATGTGGGCCAGAAACTTAAAATGAGATTAACTTGGGGGATGAACGGTGAGAGACTGCAGGCTGAGCATCTCCATAACTCATTAAAGAAAACCTGAAATCCTGTCGCCTTCGAAGCCTTCAAACAGAGAGCGGCCAGTTTTAACCTATTGTGAGGATTAAAATATGGCCATCTGCAAACCAGACATCTTAATCTGGTAGGAGCTTTAGGAAAAAATACAAACATCTTCTTTATCGTTCAACAAATCTATTCAAGTGTGAATAGAAGACTTAACTCCTGAATTTTGGTAACACCGGCTTTCCCTGCTTTCAAAGGCCAAATTAGCAGGTGGAGAATGACCCATTTATTTGGCAGGATTACGCAGCTTTATCCAGCAGCCTGGGCTTTTCCAGGGTGGTGCTGCTGCTGTGTTAAGTAGGGGTGGTGTGAGATCATGCACGCAGCACTGTGGATCCCAGAATGAGGGGCTTTTTCAGACTGAACACAGGAAGCAGGAACAGGAGAAAGACCAGCTCAGCAAAAAAATGACCACCGCACCCGTCCACTTCCCTGACTGCTGTTCAAACATCATCACCACTGCTGCTCGCTCAACCACACGTCACTCCAACCTGCTGTCAGAAATCAATTCTCTTATTAAAAGTTGATGTTTGACCTGCAACGTTTGTGTATGGGCATTTTTTTCTAACAATACAACCTCCAACTTAGTTTTAAATATTTAACTGCTTTATTTTACGTCAAATATTTAAAAAAAAATCTATACCTCATCTATTTTCCTTGCCCCTGGGTTAGTTACGAATGGAGAGCACAAAAAAAGTGTATGTTTGTTTTTCCCCTTTCTTCGTTTTGTTTATTAGTATTTTTTACTGCTGTACCTTTGCATATTTGTATTTACATATTTTGCTGTAATGCTGAAGTGGCTAAATATGTGTTAGTTTTATTTAAAAGGTTATTTTATTTATCTTATTATTATTATATATTTTTTAATTTGTGTTTTTGACCTAAATATTGTTTGATGCTTGAACTTATAATTGTACTGTTTGATTCAGATAGAAAGAAAATGTGAACTAATTTTGTTTTCTACAGATAGATTGTAACAATTGATGTCTTACTGATTCTTTATATTTGCAACTCTATGACTGTTATGCATCAATAAAAAAAATAAAATTAAATATTTAATTTAAAACAAGTTCAAAATTGTTTTTTTAAAACTACACTAGATAATCCTAGAGTTGAACATACTGTAATATAGAATTCCCTTATTTTATCTTTTACAAATTCCATTTTATTACATTTCAATTTTTCTTCAGACTACTTATTTCCAGTTTTAATAGATAAATGACATTTTAGTAATCATCATATTTGGCGTTTTAGATTCTTTTGAACACATGTAGCTGCTGCTTGTCAATCAGACAACGCTTCTGCATTCGTTCTTACTGTCAATTGCGGGAAAAATTGATCAATGAAAATTTTATGATGAACCGCTGTG